ATTTCGACCTCCCGTCGCTATCGTGCCCTAGTGGTATAGTTGATGACGCGTTAGCGGTTGGAGTGATGGGTGCTGAGTTCGAGTCTTGGCGGAGACACCATCCGCCGTGGTGGAGATATTTCCAGCCGACTAGCCCTATATAGGATGGAGAGCGCTTTACAAGTTCCTCTGCCAGTCACCAATATGAGTCTAACAAGTATATTTTGAATTTGGACAACATAATTAGAATATGTAGATTATCTGATAAATGTGATGTATTTGCGTCATACATTTAGAACAATCTGACCACACATTTACTTATTAAGGCTTTTTACATGAAAACTGAAAGTAGAAGAAAAACAAATATGACAGAAAGGAATTAGTCAATACGAAAGGTAATACTAGCGAGGTTTAGTAATGTACTTATTCAAAAGGATCCAGCATATCTGTATGGAAGACTCAGTGGATGTTGACGTCGAAATACTAACTGAAACATAAGCGGGAAATGCAGATCCACTGAAGTTAGCTAACCGTGACGAAAATCAACCAGGGTTGAAACCTAGTCTGCACTCTGCTCCGAAGAAATGCGTTCATATCACGTTACGATACAGAGGGTAATCAAATAGCGTAATTTTAAAACGAAGGCTGAAATCTGCCACTAGTAAAAAATACTTTGCAACTAGAGACTTATCGTAATTGAGACGGCTAAACACACATTTTGCAACACAGACCTCAACACTGTATAAACAAATGCCTCACATCCCATTGTGTTTATCGAGATATCGATTTGAGGGTGGGGGATCACGTACCGTGTACAAAAGCAGCTGAACTTACAAATACTGGTAAGCGCAGATGGCAAGGGTCACAGAATTGATATATTTTGTGTGGGAACTGTCAGCAGTGTGTACTTAGGTTTGTTGAAACGCTAGCCATATGCAAATGTAAGCCCCCGTTGTGTATTCAAAAACAGCTTTTGCATATTTACAATCTAAGAGATTATAAATAGTAACACATTAGCCATTCAATTTGACAGAGTGATTAGTTATCATATTTTACGCAGTCAGTGTGAGTAAGAGATCAAGCGATAGTAATGAGTCACGAATTCATACGATAGTTGGGAAAAACCCTTGGTGATTGAAGTGAAATAGAAAACCGATCAGCAGTCGGACCTCGTAGATCAGTTGGTACAGCATCGGCCCGGAAACTCAGTAGTCGTTGGTTTGAATCCAACCACAGTTCAAGTTTTCATTTCAACTTCAATCACCATACAGTATTTCAGAAAGACCAAAGACTATGTGGAAGAGGATTGAACTGGGAATCTTTGGGTTCATATATATATATATATATATATATATATATATATATATATATATATATATATATATATAACCTTGGTGTTTTATAAATGAAGTATGATTTGTAAATTCCCAATGAAGTAGAAAAATAAATTTCTGACATTTCGCGACTTCGTGGAAATCGCTTCTTCAGAGAACAAAACCTGCACAAGTTATCGAATAGTTTAAATAGTAAAAGGTGATAATATGAACGTGAATGTCATCGTCATGCTGGTCAGGAAGCGTTCACAATTTGTTTATGAGTTAATTAGCCTGGAGATCAAGGTGATATGAATATGTGTATATGTAACTGGGTGTGAGAAAATAAATAAATAATATGGATGACGAAATTCGGTTTGTTTGTGCGTATGTACTTTTGACCAGATCATTGTGCGTGATGTTTTGTTTTCGGGAATACTGTCCAGGTTGGTTGGATAGTTAGGCCTTCCTTTCAGTTGAGTACATTAGGATTCAACATAATGTGAAATGCATCAATTCTTTCTTTGTAGTTTGAAAATCCCTTTTGAATAATTTTAATATTTTCAATATCGATTTTGTGACTGTGATATATGGCGTGGATAGTGATCGCCGACTTGATTTGTAGGTTCTCTAGTTTTACAGGATTATTTGGCGGTCGTTTTGTGTAGCTTGCACGTTCTTTAGCCCTAATAAGGATCTCATGGGATGATTCTCCAATATAATAAGCATCACAGTCGACACAGCCTAATTTGTAGACACAATTTTGTGTGGAGGTAAAATGGGACTTTATCTTTTACACGAACTAGAGCATTCCTCAGAGTGTTGATTGTCTTGTAGAAGGTCCTGATTCAGTGTTTTAATTTTGATTATTTCTCTGAAGAAGCTCAGACCAGAATTCAGTGCGAAATGTTGGAATTATTTCATTTACGCTATAACATACACAAATACAAAGTATATCTAACCGATAGACAGTTGTTAATTCATGAACTACTACAGTCAAGTAATGCTGTGTCCGTTTGCAACTCATAGACCATAGAATTCTATACAATGAAGATTTAGTTTTGCGATGAACTAGTCTAAATCGCTTTACTGAATAAAATAATCAGGAAAAACAGTAATATTCTGTTAGTGACATCCGTTTTATTGAAAAAAACTTGGACAGTATTCCAACGTCATCTTTAAGCGTGAGCTAATATTCACTACAATAGATTCGATTGGAAACATATTTGGACGGAGATAATGAATAATATCCTTGTATTCCTACAGATTATTACTTAGTTGATGGAAGTGTGATAAAGTTGACGATAAAATAGATCTATGTTAAAAGATTAACAAGGGTGGTAGGTTCATCAACCAGTCTATGTTGAATTTAACGTTGCTGAAGTATGTCAATACTTTTACGAAGCTACATAGGACTAGACTAGCAAGCAATAAACTACATTACTAAGAGTTCTGTAATCGGTTATGAGTAGCTTATAATGAAAACCAATGCGTCACATACATGAAAGAAAAGTAGACAACGCGAAAACTAAATTATTATTTCTCCCTTCGGTTCCTACTGAAATATAGGGCTTCACTAGCACCTCGCCATTTCACTCTCTTCTCTGCACTCTCCTCAACCTCGCTCCACAACTGCTCACAAGCCTTCATTTCTTCCTCACACCATCTCCTCCATGTCACCCTCACCTCGCACGCCAAACTCGTCGTTTCTCATTTCGGTCCCACTCGAAGGCCTGACGTGGCGCGTGGTGTCCCCAAATCGTCTTCTCACTACATATCCAATCAAACCCATCTCCACTTTCTCCTCCTGAATATTTGTTGCACGATGGGTTATTGATCGGTTCATTGTGGGACCAGACAGAGTTCATTGTTTCTCATTCTTTTTATTCTCGTCATCTGATCTTCAGTGTCAGTCAGTATCGAGTCAGCGACTGTAGGTGTTGATATGTGTCCGTAGTTCGTTGGAAATGCCTTTGGTAACACGCCAAGTCTCTGAACCACCATCACATAGAAGCACTGACTTACTTGACTGAATTAGTGTTGAGAATCCGAATGTTGTTCACTCTTTATGCTGAGTGGAGTGCAGTATATCTACAGACTGATTATTTGAGATTAATGCAGGGAGGCCTGTCTTGTTGTCTTTCCTATGGTGACTTGCTTTGACATCTTCATGTGTGCTGCGGTCGCCACCTGTCGGTGTAGTTGAGATGATGCTGCTTGAGTAGGTAGGTGAAAGGGACAATTTGTTTTAGATTTCTCCTGTTGGTGCTTGTTGGTAGGGTATCCTCATAACCTCTGTCTTTTGTATGTTCACCTGAAGTCCTGTCTTCAGTGCCTCGCCTCTTCTGCCAACTTGTTAGTTTTCGCCTGTAGATCTTCGAGTTTGTGCGACAAGACATTAGGCATAAATCATCGTCATTATCATCTTTGACGAAATCCAAGTCTTCTGGGGTGTTTTCATCGGTCAAACAGCGTATGTGCACCTTCTCACAGTTGTCTGTTGGATGATCCAGTCAAGTCGACCACAATCACGAAGATGATCGGTGATAGTAAACGACAACCTTGTCTTCCTACCCCATTCACTGAGCTTTCCATTGTGGATCAGTCGGCATGTAGCATCCTGATATAGCTGCTGTTGAATGAGGTTGGTAAACGTTTGTAGCACTAAAACCGTAGTATTGAAGTAGTTTCCAAATTACTTCTCGGTTGAACCTGTCGAAGGCTTTTTCAAAGTTGATGAAGTTGAGATAAAGAGTTTACTGTCATTCCACGCTCTCTTCTATGATGCATAGCGCTGCAATTTCATCCGCGCATGATTTGTTCTTCCTGAAGCCAACCAGCCCGTTCCAGTCATAGTTTTCAATCCAGACCATTTTTTAGTCTCTCCAGGATGATGTGGCTTAATATTTTGCTTGGGGTGGACAGGAGTGGAGCATGATTCTTCGCCAATTTTCGCAAAGACTTAGGTAGGCCTTTTTTCAATCGCCAGATACCTTTCCTTCCTTTCAAACCTTCAAAAATGAAAGCCACTCTCTCAGTGTGCTCATGGCTGTCGTCTGGGTGACAATATCGGAGTAGATTATTGATTCTCCAGTTGACAGTTTGGAGAGTCCACTTGCATTCCATCTGCAGATTCCTAGCACTTCAATGCTATAACTTCTCATCCCCTTTGCAATCTGGGCAGCCTTGCTAGGTTCAAACATTGTGCGGAAATTCCATGTCCCCATGTTTACTTTCACTTTCATCGAGGGAGAGAAGACACATCGGTCAACTGGGTTTCCGAAGGGTTTCACCAACTGGCGTCATTTCGCCTCTCCGATTCCAGCGAGGAATGTTTAATTTTATTGTTTATATTTTTTTTGTGTTTTGAAGTTTCTTCAGCGATTGGATTGGTTTTCCGGGGTAGGGTTGCTAGCCCTATGCCCAACCTTCCCCCTTTATCTGGGCTTAGGACAGGCTAGTAAACTTTAGTCAAATTCATTAAATATATCGATGCGGTCACGCACAGAAGTGAAAAAACTTAGGTTTCTGTTTTGATTAAAACAGCAACTGATACCCATTGCACAAGAGGTGACTATCGTGCCCCAGTGGGGGTACTGAGCTTGAATCTCAGTGGGACGCAGGTATATCCAGCTAACGAATCCCAAATAGAATGAGAAGCGTATCTTGGATTCCACTGTTAGCCACCAAGATGGAAAAAAACTTACGTGTTATACAAAGATTTTATTGATCAAAAATATCTTGAATATATAAATACAAATAATGCCAATTATACACATACATCTGTCTTTACAGTATCTAATGTACACTTCGGTGTTGTCAACAGATTTCGCATATGTTCAAATCCAGACTCAATAAGATAATGAAATTGAGGATCTTTGACTAAATCTGCCAATTCATCCGCTGCCAACAACTGTTCTGGGCTTGGAAGTAAAGAAATTACATCTACACCTGAAATAAATAGAAAGAGAATGAACTAGTGGTGGTCAGTATAACATTTTAAATACACAAGTAATTATAAAATTAAACAAGCATATAAAAGTTATGTCTCAGTAGAAAAGAGCACAAAATATCCGTTAGAATAAAATGCGAAAACTGCTTCAAAGACGTTCATTTCATTGGTGTAACAGTTGTACAGTTTATACTAGATGCTTAATTTATTAGTAATTAGTAATGCACCAATGTGTAAAAGTAGACTTTGAACAGATTCATGCAGTGACCTGACACCTTCAACGGTCTCATCAGCTGCTTCAAGTTATAGATCAATGTACAAAACGAAAGTCTAAAAGCTTTACGATGCCTTCTGCATTCTTGTTATGTATCCTAATGTCTGAGAGACTGTGTTTGTTATACCAATTCCTCTGAAGTTATCTCATGAACAGTTCAATTTTTTGGAGTGGATGATAGTTGTAATCATTCAGAAGGATCCATACCTAACGAACACCTCAATCAGTTCTATCTGGAGGCTTAATAATTCATTTTAAGTTGGAATTCAGCATGGACTGATACCAGTTGGAAGAACATTAGAAAAATGGGAGCAGTAAAAAGCTGTTTCGTCCCAGCATGAGACGATTCTTCAGCAGTGCACACCCATGATCCTAGCCTCTAGGGGGTCGAACCCACGGCCTTCAAGTTCCGTGGCCAGCGCATTACCATTGACCCACTGGGTCGGAATTCAATGGTCCATATTTCTTACTTCTGTCAGCTCACGATATAGCGCGACTTACATCCAATGTCGTCATTGAGTAACTGTCCTCAATTTTACTAATGACCAGGAAGTCGTTCAACTACTAGAAAAGTTTGACACTTGGTCTCAATGTAAACTTCCGTTTGGGTTTGGAATAATCGGAACTTATGGGATAGTTGAACTGTTGCCCCAAGAAATTATAGATCCTTCCTTCTCTGATATTTATTTGTAATCCCATCTCCTTTATACAGAGGAGTCTACGATGGCTTAGGCCATCAAAGTGAATAATCATTCCGAGGGATGCCATGAATAAACATGTTATCCCAATGTAAGAAAAGGATTACAATATCTCAATCATAGGAATGAATGAATAGTATTGTTTTTCTTCAATTTAATTATATTTACTAACAAGATTTCAGCATACTGTACAACCTAATAACTATCACGCGCAAAAGTTTATTTTCTACTCCACTGTCAATTTAATTGAATTACTTTACGTTATATTTCAGCGAATAACTTGTCCATATGGAACCTCGCAACACAAGTGGATCGGTTCAAATCATCACACTTTACAGTAGTATACAAAGAATAGGTGGATAAGATGGAGGAAAGGGGACTTAAAAACTAAGGTTAGTCAAAACATTCAAACTTTAGATAAAAGTGTATGGATATTTTTATATTACATATTACCATGTTATATTGAACGATTCAAAAATTCTCATTTGACCATTAGTTAACTTGTTTTTCATTACTGCAGCACAATAGCAAGTTCATTGTATGTATTTTAATACTATACAACAACTTATATTTTCAATGACCTTGACTATTTCTAGGTCGTTTTAGATTTAAATATCTCATTGATTTTTTCTCCTTTCAACCAATCCGAATATTTACACGTTAGTTCACTTGCCTTCTCTCAAAACTTAAGAATGAGATGATTGGTTGAAAAAGGCTTCTTATGAAGATTTTTGTAATTTTTTTAAAAACATTATGACAAGGCGAAATACCAGCAGTTCCATTTCTGAATATTTGTCATGAAATCCCATCCATCTATTGTTCATACATGAAAGCAATAATTATAGGGTTTCTCTGTATGAAAAGAAAAGATTTTGTTTACTTTGAATCAATAACTACTTATAATTTAAATCTGATCTTTGAGTACATTCGTTCCCACTAATTTTTGCATTGTTATTTTCATTTTTATTGCTTATTATGTTATTCGTTATATTGTATGACAGTTATCCGACTATCTTCAGTTAATCGGTTTCTTTTAGAAATAAGTAAAATTGTCGTCTTTGAAATGATAACATCAAAGAGAAAAATTCTTTTCCTTGTTGTGTGTTGTTGTTTTACGGATAAATCGATATGAAGATTTCCTATTCCATTATTATAATGATTACTTTTCACTAAACGATCGGCATATCTGCATCCCGATTATTATGAAGGCTGAATAAAGTGTTAGGATTTTAAGGCAATTTACTGTTTATATTTGAAATGGATAAGGTGATGGTTTACAGAATATAAAAAGTTAACTTTTGGAACTGTGATAAAAACTGAACACCTACCACTTTTATAAAGATCCGATACAAGCGCACATATGAAACTTCGTGTACAAATCTCAACCGGATCGTGTATTTCACCAGAAGTAGACCATCTGTAATGTATAGACATATTAGTTTATTGTTAGGAGAAACAAACATTCAATGCTTATATCATTATTTCAATTTACTTTAAATAACTAAACCAAATGGTCAGAAAATAATAGAATTAAACAACTGAAGCGGCAGTTACTACACCTAATTTACCCTCAGACTATTTACAAAAGTTCATCTGGAGGTTTGTGGAGGTTTATTAAGTGATTTTAAGTTGGAATTTATGATGGACTGACATCGGTTGGAGGAACATTGGAAACCTGGAAGCACTGGACAGCTGTTTCGTCCTAGTATGGGACTCCTCGGTAGTGCGCAGTCATGACCCCGCCACCCAGAGGTCAAACCTAAGGCCTTCAGGTTCCATGGCCAGCAATTTACTGTTGAGCTACTAGGTCAGAATTGAATGATCCACATTTCTTACTTCCTTCAACTGATGAATTCCAACCTAAAATGTTTACCAAAGTGTCAAATATCAAATCCAGACTAACTAAAGTGTCTATTTTCTAAACAATAGGTATTTAAACTGAAAAACATTAGATGGTAACACGACCAAAAGATGATAAACAGTAGACGAGATCCGGATCGAATCGAAATATGGTCGGTCTGCAAACGTTCTAGAGTCGATGATGAGCTGCACACCTGCCTGCCGAAACCCCGGTAGGTGGAGCGGTGTTCAAGCATGTAATATGCAACAAACTCTACACTGGACACTAGTAGACTCACACTATTCGTTTGAATGTGGTACACACATAGAAGCATATAAACGTTAACTCTAGCTGCCGTGTGTGACATAAACACAACATTTTAACATAACTTTTATACTCTAATACTTGCTATTTCAATAAAAAGACAATTTTATAGTATTCACGAAAGATTCCAAATTTAAGAGGAACGTTTCCATTCAAAAATGCATAATTCATATCTTTATTATATGCCTAGAATTATAACAAGTTTGAAGTGATCATTACAAAAAAGCGAAATAAATAGATAAGTTTCAGGAAACTGATACTTAAACGACATAAAATTTTTATTTGTCAGCAAAATTGTACACTTTGGAGATATCAAACTAGTCATGGACAACTAAATGACTTTCATAAACAGTAAAGATGATTGGTAGTTACACTGGAGATGAAGACGAATTAGTCAGCAAGAGTAATATTATTCCCTTGGGTTCCTACTGAAACATAGAGCTTCACTAGCACGCATCCATTACACTCTCTTCTCTGCAGTATTTTCAACATGGCACAACGACTGCACACAAGCTTCCACTTCTTCCTCACATTGATCTCCTATACGTCACTATCACCTCGGATGTCCAACTCCTTGTTTCCCCCTCGGATTCCACTCGACGGACTGGTCGGGCGCGTGATATCTCCAAATGGTATTCTCACTCCATGTCCAATACAATCCATCTCCACTCTCTTCTTCTGCATATCGGTTGGGTGATAGCTTCTTGGTTGGTTTGTTCCCAGATTTCTTTATTGCTTATTCTTCTTCTTATTCCGGCCACCTGATCTTCATCTTCAGTATCCAGTGAGCATAGGCGACAGCTGTTGATCAATGTCTGTTGTTTGTTCGAAATGCTTTTCGTGACACGCCAACTTTCTTAATCATATAGAAGCACTGACTTACTTGACATTGATGTTGAAAATCCACACCTCGTTCTTTATGCTGAGTGCAGTGCAGTGCAGTGCAGTAGATCTCCACACTCATTTCACATTAGTGAAAGCCTGTATTTCTGTCTTTCCGATCCTGGTTGGCTTTGACATCCTCGGCTGTGCCACCACTGACTGTAGTTGAAACGATGTTGCCTTCACTAGGTAGGTGAAAGAGACCACTTCCTTTAGGTTTCTCCCATTGATGGTGATTGGTGCCTCTTGTTGTTGATGTTGTTATTGTTAGTTGGGTATCTTCATCACTTCTGTCTTCTCTGTGTTCACCTGAATGAAGTCTCGTCTTCCTTCGCTGCCTCACCTCTTCTGTCAACTTGTTAGTTTTCGCCTGCAGATCTTCGAGTTTCTGCGACAGACATTAGATACAAATCATCGGCGAAATCTACGTCTTCTGGGCTCTTTCCATGGGTCTAGCCAGCCTGTGACCCTCTTCTCTCTCCTCATGGTTTGCTGTATGATCCCGTCAACCACAATCAGGAAGATGGTCAGTGATAGTAGGTGGCAGCCTTGTATTACTGCTCCCTGTCTTCACTTCAGTGGTATCACTGGACTTTCCATTGTGGATCACTTGGCATGTAGCATCCAGATATAGCTGCTGTTGAATGAAGTTGATAAAGACTAGTGGCACTCCGTAGTCAGCGATAGAAACTGAGAAATTTATGCGACTGATAGATTGTACACTAACAAATAAATCGATATTAGGGGGAACATTAGCGAAAAAGTCGTTGTTATAAATAACGGCACTTATGAATATATCTGCTGTTCACAATCAAAGTTAAACAGAATGAAGAAAGTAGTTGAATCTTAAAAGAAACTAATAACATGAAATGATTTGGACTAGTTTGTCATATCTATTACGTAACACAGGACTACCGACAACAGCAAACGAAACTCAACAAAAATAGAAACCTTTTAAAATGACTAAGAGCAGAATGAGTGGGTAACAAGCAATGTAGCCAGTAGCCACTGGTTAGAATCCGGCCGCGGCTGAAATTTTCATTTCACCTTCAATCATCATTCAGTATCAAGAAACAATGTAACAGATACCAATAAGTTGAACATTTAAAAGATGTGATGAGTGTAAATGCAGCAAACATAGAGACGGAATCAACGTAGAACCTCACGTAGAAATCTATAGGTTCGAGTTGCCACATTTCAGAATGGTATACAAACAACATCGCACAAACTCAAAGATCTACAGGCGAAAACTAACAAGTTGGCAGAAGAGGCGAGGCACTGAAGACAGGACTTCAGGTGAACATACAAAAGACAGAGGTTATGAGGATACCCTACCAACAAGCACCAACAGGAGAAATCTAAAACAAATTGCCCCTTTCACCTACCTACTCAAGCAGCATCATCTCAACTACACCGACAGGTGGCGACCGCAGCACACATGAAGATGTCAAAGCAAGTCACCATAGGAAAGACAACAAGACAGGCCTCCCTGCATTAATCTCAAATAATCAGTCTGTAGATATACTGCACTCCACTCAGCATAAAGAGTGAACAACATTCGGATTCTCAACACTAATTCAGTCAAGTAAGTCAGTGCTTCTATGTGATGGTGGTTCAGAGACTTGGCGTGTTACCAAAGGCATTTCCAACGAACTACGGACACATATCAACACCTACAATCGCTGACTCGATACTGACTGACACTGAAGATCAGATGACGAGAATAAAAAGAATGAGAAACAATGAACTCTGTCTGGTCCCACAATGAACCGATCAATAACCCATTGCCCAACAAATATTCAGGAGGAGAAAGTGGAGATGGGTTTGATTGGATATGTAGTGAGAAGACGATTTGGGGACATCACGCACCACGTCAGGCCTTCGAGTGGGACCGAAATGAGAAACGAGTTTGGCGTGCGAGGTGAGGGTGACATGGAGGAGATGGTGTGAGGAAGAAATGAAGGCTTGTGGGCAGTTGTGGAGCGAGGTTGAGGAGAGTGCAGAGAAGAGAGTGAAATGGCGAGGTGCTAGTGAAGCCCTATATTCCAGTAGGAACCCAAAGGAAAAATAATGAGTGATGAAAACACAAACAACAGGTAGATAGAAAAAGAGTGATGTCAAAGTAGACAAAGTTGTATGAGAGAATAAACAGTGTGTAGGCAAAGGTTAGTGCGGATATTCAAGGAGTGAATACATGTGCGCCATTGTGACCGATTTCAAGCCATGTCACCAATAGTTCTCAACCATTAACTCCATTTGTTTCCGGGACCCCAGGCTACGGAATCTACATCAGCCCACATGGTTCAGAGCACCAGTAAGAGACTTCATCGACTGGTGTCAGGTCTTGGTCTAGCTATCTTGCTTGACCTCAGCATTTCTCAGATGGTGATTTCTCTAGACGCGATGTTCGCTACAAAGACATCTGTGATCGAAACCCAGTAATCGCTTCATATCTTTTACTTTTAATGACCACGTCTCACAGCCGTATAGCAGGACACAGTGAACTGCTGCGTAGTATACTTATCCTTTGATAGATAGTGGACATCTCGTGGTGATTGAATCTCCTTAGTTTGTGTTGCATAAAGTCTCAACTGTGTTTTGGAATCCAATCAAGGAAACTACATTCGTACCTGAAGCAAACAGGTCTCTGACCTTGAAAGACATTTGTAGCCTGAAAATATACTCATCAAGCGGACGGTACATCAATTTGAAAACACAAAAATGACTAGTGAATCTTAAGGAAGCTGGATAATCCAAATGTAAATCCTTTCTCCTCCAGTTTCAACTACTCGGTTGTTTAGGCTTCAACTTGATAAGTAGTATGTATCAATTAGATTAAATTTAGAGAAATGACAATTTACATAATTTAGTAGTTTCCTTTCACTGTGACAAGAATGTGATTTGACTAGATGTTTAGTGAACAAAACGGTGAGAATCTGAAAGTCAACTGCTGCAAATGAAGATGAACTGCTTAATCTCATAGTCTTAGGTTCTACGTTGAGAAAAGAAGAAACATAGTTTGACAAAGAGTTATCTGTACGTGGTACACACTACTATGAGCTACTTAGCAGTAAATACAATCGAAGTCAATTTTTAGTATGCACGGCTGCGGTCCAAATTTTCATTTCACTTTCAGTCATCACCAAGCATCAATTACTAGTCTACCAAACTACGGCTATCTCAGATAGTCAAAATGATGCTCCCCTTCTCTAATTCAGTTAGATTTGGACTGCGATGGTAAATCCTGACTAGGCAGCCAATGTGAGTACGAGATCAAGCGACAGTAACGCGTTACAAATTCTTATGATAGTTGGGCAAAACTCTTTGTGATTTAGGTGAAATAAAAATCTGGTCAGTCAGCAGTCAGACCTCATAGCTCAGTTGGTAGAGCATCATGCTGGAAACCTTGTGGTCACTGGTTCTAATCCGGCCGCGGTGCAAATTTTTATTTCATCTTCAATCATCACCCAGTATTAATATATATGAAGACGTTTATATATATATATATATATATATATATATATATATATATATATATATATATACTTACTCATTCATTCGAATTGCTTGACACCAAATATGTAGCAGCAATTCATCTCGTACCTCCGTAGGATGTTGACAATCCTCATTTGGTCTTAAATCCAATAGATTCTGTAGAATATCAACTAGCATAAATGCACGCCGGAAATGTATAATCATTTCAGGCAATAACTGTTGTTTAGCATCATTATTATCCTCCTCCTCCTCCTCATCATCATCATTACTTTTAACAGTTTCATTTAAGCATACAGCATAGTTAACAAATAAACGAACCAATACTGGTATTGATAGAACACGTTTAAAGCGTAGATTGGAATCCGATGAGGTAGTTTCAAAAATTGACTCTGATTTGATATGATTCGAATCAATCAATTCCTAAGACGGATAGATGAAAATAAAACCATATAAAAAAAATAGACAGAGTGTTAGGCAGCGGGAGAAACCACTTAAAAAAAAAGTTAACTAATGACTATCGCTCCATGTTTTAATCTTAAGTGTTGCTATAAGTGAAAAGGGTTAACTAAGGTATATTCTTACCATAGTTTGAAAATTAAATAGTTTTTGAAGCTAATTGAATGCACAACATATAACTGTCTATTCCTCAGCTTGGTTACTCTAACATACGTCAATGTTAAGGCACATAGTTTGTTTGTCAATAGTGATAAGCCTAACTGTATGACATATATTACTGATGAAAGATATGAGCATTCACTTTGAAGTTGGGCTATTCAGTTTTCTCAATCAAGGTAACGTAGTAAAGCACTTTTCATAAGATTAAGATTAGTTTCAACGTTGACACCCACCAGTTTTATAAACCCGAATTCATTATTATTTTTCCCTTGGGTTCCTACTGAAACATAGGGCTTCACTAGCACGCATCCATTACACTCTCTTCTCTGCAGTATTTTCAACATAGCACAACGACTGCACACAAGCTTCCACTTCTTCCTCACATTGATCTCCTATACGTCACTATCACCTCGGATGTCCAACTCCTTGTTTCCCCCTCGGATTCCACTCGACGGACTGGTCGGGCGCGTGATATCTCCAAATGGTATTCTCACTCCATATCCAATACAATCCATCTCCACTCTCTTCTTCTGCATATCGGTTGGGTGATAGCTTCTTGGTTGGTTTGTTCCCAGATTTCTTTATTGCTTATTCTTCTTCTTATTCCGGCCACCTGATCTTCATCTTCAGTATCCAGTGAGCATAGGCGACAGCTGTTGATCAATGTCTGTTGTTTGTTCGAAATGCTTTTCGTGACACGCCAACTTTCTTAATCATATAGAAGCACTGACTTACTTGACATTGATGTTGAAAATCCACACCTCGTTCTTTATGCTGAGTGCAGTGCAGTGCAGTGCAGTAGATCTCCACACTCATTTCACATTAGTGAAAGCCTGTATTTCTGTCTTTCCGATCCTGGTTGGCTTTGACATCCTCGGCTGTGCCACCACTGACTGTAGTTGAAACGATGTTGCCTTCACTAGGTAGGTGAAAGAGACTACTTCCTTTAGGTTTCTCCCATTGATGGTGATTGGTGCCTCTTGTTGTTGATGTTGTTATTGTTAGTTGGGTATCTTCATCACTTCTGTCTTCTCTGTGTTCACCTGAATGAAGTCTCGTCTTCCTTCGCTGCCTCACCTCTTCTGTCAACTTGTTAGTTTTCGCCTGCAGATCTTCGAGTTTCTGCGACAGACATTAGATACAAATCATCGGCGAAATCTACGTCTTCTGGGCTCTTTCCATGGGTCTAGCCAGCCTGTGACCCTCTTCTCTCTCCTCATGGTTTGCTGTATGATCCAGTCAACCACAATCAGGAAGATGGTCAGTGATAGTAGGTGGCAGCCTTGTATTACTCCTTCCTGTCTTCACTTCAAAGGCATCGCTGAGCTTTCCATTGTGGATCACTTGGCATGTAGCATCCAGATATACCTGATGTTGAATGAGGTCGATAAAGGTTTGTGGTATTCTGTAGTGTTGAAGCAACTGCCAAATTACTTCTTGGTCGACGCTGTCGAAGGCCTTTCTCAAACTCGATGAAGTTGAAGTGGAGAGTTGACTGTTCTTCTATGCTCTGTTCTATGATGATGCGTAGCACTGCAATTTGATCCGCATATGATTTGTTCTTCCTGAAGCCAGCCTGTTCTGGTGATAGTTTTGAATCCAGCGCATCCTTAAGTCTCTTCAGGATGATGCGGCAAAATATTTTGCTTGGAGTGGACAGGAGTGGAGCATGATTCTACGCCAGTTCTTGCAAAGGCCTAGGTCTCCCTTCTTTGGGAGTTTGACAAGGTAGCCCTTCTTCCAATCTGCAGGTACCCGAACTAGCAATTACTTTCATCAGTGTTTAAGTTTACCTATTCTGTTAGCTGAACACATAGATTGAACCTTTCAAAGTATAAATATTTCATTAAATCCGCTTTGTACTGTGTTGAAATAGAGCTGTTGACAATTGAGTATTATCCTTTTCGAGATAGTAGAGAAAAATTTGTAGCTGAAGAGGATGATTGTGATGTGTTGTGTGAGATGAATGGTTTAACCCTTACCATAATTACGCAAATAACGTTGATCAGAAACCCCAAATCCTGTCAAATGCTCAATCAGTAAACGGAATTTGGGTATCTATGCGGTGCCACATGCGAAGTCAATCAAATCTTTTTTGCATGTATCAATATTTCTTTCGGTACAGACCATCTAGTGCTGATTTTACTCCTCAGGCGAGGCGAAGGAGTAAAACAATCAAAAGAGGCATTGAATACATAGAAAATATACCTTTAAGACTTTCTTAAAAATTATCACTCAACTTTTCTACAGGACTGAATTTTATTAGGATTTGCATTCATTAAAACTATATTGTCTGTATAATCTAAATAAACTAAGGAGGCTTGTGCAACCAGATTGATTCTTGTAAAGTCAGACGAAGAGAAAACTTCATTAGCATGTCAATGCTAATTTGCATAAAAATGGAGAGATTGAACATTCTTGGGCGACACTATCTAATGTATACACATCTCACTTACGTTGGTGGGAATATAACTTTTTCTCAAGGATTTGGCTAGAATTATAGGAAAATCTAATATTTTCAGTTACACCGTTCAAAAAATCTGATCCAATAAACTCGCTTTCTAAGTGGTCATTCCACAAGGTCAGCATATATATTAGAAGGTCCTAGTTTGCATAAAACATTTTTTCTAAAATATCGTTTTCACGTCACTTATTTTACAGAATGACTAGTAGTTCATTTTCTGCTTCCATTTGCAATGTAATTCGCTGATTGGTTAAATGCTTACTTTTTCTATGTTAATGTCTCAATTTGCGAACAAGGTCATATCTCATGTATTATATATTCAATCAGTTCGATTCGACGGTAAACGCCTTCAGTTACTTCTTTGTTTTGTTTTGACTTGCTAGTGGGGTTGAGTTTGGGATCAAACCAAGATGTATAGAGATGTGTATATTATACGTTTATTCGAGTGTTGCGTATCGAATAGGATAGCGCTTTTGTTGGCAGATCAAGATATATTATTCTGTCCAACTTATAAAGCTATCGCTAAGCTTACATAGCTTGGAAAAGTTATATTGAACCCCCCCGATAAAGGCAATCTCGATTTTGTTACTTTTTAAAGCGCAACCTTGGTATTAACTGATACCAACATTAAAAAGTAATAACGGGATGAAATAGGGGAGGGGGAGTTGGTCAGCCCAATCATCTCTCATATGACACCAACGTCTGTTTCTACTCTAATACTTTTTAAAAACGTCAAAAAAAAAATTCCGGTGCTAAGTATCATCTATTAACCACTGGAATAACTATGAAAGTAAGAAAGGACATCAGTTTGTAACGTTGCATGACAGATAGTTACGGTGAAGAAGAAACTCTCGATGCAACTAGACTTGTTGAAATCAGTCTTCGATATCATATGATCCAGAAGTTCAAATGTTTTATCAGATATTATTGGAAGTTAAAAATTATCATGGTTAATTATGAAGACGAACTAAAAAGAAATGACAGTTTCCTTAGACTGATTGCAACTTATCAGCAGAATTATAATTGATATTTCGTTTAGATTATGTCTTGATAGTATTATTATGCAATTCTTTTTAAAGTATATTTAATGTTTTCTACGTTTTGTTAAACTATTGACTTCAAAGTCGAAATGCACTCAGAAACCTAGTGCATACTTGTATAGTAGGCAAAGACGAGTACCTATTGTATGAAGGCTAATAACACTTGGTGCTCAAACTTCGACAGGTGGAGTGGGGTTCAAACTCATGGCCCATTGATTGAAAGTCATCTTTCTAAACAAATAAGACACAGATTATCTGAAAAATGTGATGTGTTAGCGCTATACATTTTGAACAATCTGATCATACATTTACTTGTTGAGGCACTATATGTGAAAACTGGTCTTAAATCCACTGCGTTTATAAATTTACATATGTGTGTGTGTGGACAAATATACGTAGGGAGGACTAATCGTGATATGCACTTGAGGGTAGGGGAACATGTTCAAAAATGGCTATGAAAGCAGCTGGATTCACAAACATTGATAAGCGCAGATGGCAGACAACCATCATCATTCATTGAAAAACATAAAATTGATAAGAGTCACAGGATTGATATTAAAACAGCCATTACAATTTTGTATACTTAAGTTTATTGAGGTGCTTGCCATAAATAAATTTAACCCCACCCCATTGTGTGTGCAAAAACAGTTTATCCTTACATTAAGCCTACCTTGGTAATGCTTATTTTATCGTATTACCAAGATTGTCTCCAAATCTTATCTTTTTTTCCCCTTTCATTGTCTTTCTTATCATTGAATTCCTTTATGTCATATTTGTCCTCCTCCCACTTCCAGTTTCCATATATAATGCCTCAATAAGTAAATGTGTGTTCAGACTGTTAGAAATCTACGTCTTCTAATTAATTACATTATCCAGATTCATAAAAGGGATCAATTGTTTCAAATAAGACACAGCTCCACTTACCTCATCATTAGCATGAATGAATGCTTCCGATGAAATAATCAACTAGTAAAATTTAATACCTTTGCCTAAAGTCTTTTACATCCTGTGACCTTTTAAAAGTACATATATCGAAAATTATGTTACATTCTTTCGCATATCTCAGTTATAAACAAATAATATACGATTATAAAGTATACAAAGAGAATTTGCTTACCTGAAATGAGATCCAGTCTAGATAGGAATCAATTTTTGAAAGGAATGAGTGTCCTTTTTCATATCTTCCTCGATTTTGACTGAAGCCCATATGTGATGTATTATGATCAGTATTATTATTATTATTAATGTTGTAAGGATTGTGAACTCTATGATTCATATCAAGCGTTGACAACGATACATTCATGTTGATTGTTGAATTCGAATGATTTGACGCTAAATATGTGAGCTTAGCTAAACTGAATAAAGTTTTACGACGTCCTAAATACTGGAATTCTTTACACCCCTCTTCAAAGAGAATATTTGCAGCCTGAGGGGAAAAGAAAACAGAAAAAGAGACCTTATACAACATGAAAATAAGCACGATGACACCTATTTATAAATGTTTACATCGAGCTAATTATTCTCCTATTGTCAGTCATTGATATTCAAACACTAGGGTCAGGTACTGTTACCAAAGCTTCACACTGAGCACTATTCATTGATTTAGCATGTAAACGTTTGTAAATAATGAATAAAGGAAAAACATAACAGAAACAGTATGAGTTTAGTGAATAATTCAGCTCCAACATTGAGCTGAGAAATGAAATGATTAGTATAATCTACTAACGTAGTGAGAAATAAAAGGTCGATGAAGTAAGTCAGGCTCACGAATCGGTCACGACATGGTAACTGTTATATCAGCCGTAAAGTGGATCTCAGATAAGTGTCATTGGTTGTATTACAATATTCCTTTCAAAAGTCATTTTATCTATGACTTAGCTGGTGACATTAGTGTAGAGCTCGGGGAGTTGCACCAGACCACCAAACAAGTTGGATGCTGACGAAATTTCAGCTCAGATATATTTGAAAACCTGCGCCATCTATGACGCCGACTGGCGAGATATCCGATGAGTATACTACGCTGCAGTTCCTTTTGTCCTACAATACAGCTGTGAGACGTGATCATTAAAAGTAAAAGATACGAAGCGATTACTGGGTTCTGATCACAGATGTCTTTGTAGTGACCATCACCTTTAGTGGAACCAGGCAAGAATGGAAAGTCGATTGATGAGGTTGTGAACGTTAGTCGACTAAGGTGGCTTGGACACGTACTGCGCATTCTGAGTCACAACCTACCTCGACGCATCATACTAGGAGAAATTGGATTAGGTTGGAAAAGGGCTCAGCGTGGCTAGACCAAGACCTGACACCAGCCGGTGAAGTCTTTTTCTGCTGGTCTGAGTCGTGTAGGGCGATGCAAACTACTTGGTTAGGGTTGCCAAGATGATAGGAACTAGTAGTTGAGGACTAATGGTGACATGGCTGGAAATCGGTCACAATGGTGCAGATGTATTCACTCCTTGGTATCTTCTGAGGCTTGAATATCCGCACTAACCCTTATCTTCAGATTGTTTATTTTCTTAAACAACCTTAACTAGTTTGATATGATTCTTTTTCTATCCATTTGTTGTTTGCACACACGCCTGTAAAGTGGGGCAACTTGAACTGATGCACTTGTGCGCGACGTTCTACGTTGATTCTATTTTTCTGTTTGTCTAACTATCTGTCTTTTCAAGAACTTTCGATTGACCGTTTATCCTCTTATGTATGACTTATATTCCAAAAATAATTGGGTGGTGAGTGAAATCCATTATTGTGTATTATCACATTTTTATACTCGAAACTGGTTGTTTCATTATTATAAACTATGGTGGGTTGTGGTCAGATAATTCAATTGTATACATACACAGACGATTCAGATTGCCCAAAATATACCGATAATAAGCACTAGAATTTGCGTTTTATTGAACACAGTGAGGGGGGGGGGAATTGCACGACTCTTTGTGTAGGTAAGTTCAGTACACGAGATTGGGCAACTATACTCGAAACTAATCACGTTATTAAGACAATTGGAACCAGACAAAGTTATAACACAGCTAGTACAGCCGTCAAATCCTTAAAGGCTGATCAAAGTTAACCGATAAACTTTTCAATATGACTAAAGTGACAAATACGGTCCTGTTAAACGTTAAAACTCGAATGGATTCATGAAGTTTTCAAAAATAGTTCTTATTTTTCGGACATTTTTACATGTTTTCATCTGCATAATCGCATTCACTAGATACAACTCCCTTAATATATGTGGATTACTGTATAACCTACGATTTTACATTGGACTGACGTCCACATGGAGAAATAACTAACTTAATGAATCATCCAGTCCAACGGGAGGTCGACCGCAGCCTAAATAGCTGTGGTAGCGCCGCTGACTATAAGACTGGTTGACATGGGTTCGAATCTCAGACGGGCCATCAGTTCCGTCGACGTTGCAGTTACTCCTTGTCGACGAGTTCTAACAAGCACAAACCTTTGGTTCAGGATTTCCTACCAAATGCGTACAACCAACTAGCGTTCGTCAAAGTGCACCATGATGATGAACCAAACTTGACGGTTTATTTGAGCTATGTAGGGCGATGCAGACTAACTGGTTGGGGTCGGTGGGACATGAGAAACCATTCATTGGAGATTCTAGGTGATATGCTTCAGAACCGATGTCAGTGGAGCAGACGCATACACACATTATCCTCATCTTAACCTCCATACTTAAATTTATCATCTTCTCACTATTCCTTCTTCTCTTTTACTTCCTTTCACCGATTTTTCTTTCCTTCTTCATCTCCCATTTTATTGTGTTGTCACTTGATGTGCTGATATAAGTTGTGGCAGTAATGCCTGATCCTATGCTGATCTTGATTATGAGTTTATTGAGCAATAGAATTCATTCAGGATTAGACAACATGAAATTAGTTGCTCTGTAGTGACCAATCAATCTCGATAACGACACTGTCTCGTTGATCAGACAGCTATCTAGTGGGCGAACCGACTTTCAAACTTGTGCACTAATAGGTTTGATGGGGTTGAAAGCGTCAACCAACGGGTCGAATAGCTCTCCTCATACTCCGATTATCCCGTTAGTGAATTACTGTACAAGAAAACAGCTCCATGCATTTACAAGGAAATGACTGTTTTTATTGGAAAGAAAGGGTATCTGGAGATTGGAAGAAGGGCTAACTTGTCAAACTCCCAAAGAAGAACGACCTAAGTCTTTGCAGAAATTGGCGCGGAATCATGCTCCACTCTTATCCACCCCAAGCAAAATATCAAGCAGCATCATCTTGGAGAGACTAGAAGATGCTCTGCATTCAAAATTATGATCGGAACAGGCTGGTTGGCTTCAGGAAGAACAAATCATATGCGGATGAAATTGCAACGCCAAACTAAGCATCATCATAGAAGAGAGCGTGGAATGGCAGTCAACCCCTTATCTCATCTTCATCAACTTTGTAAAGGCCTTCGACAAGTTCAACCGAGAAGTAATTTGGAAACTACTTCAATACTACGGTTTTAGTGTTGCAAATCTTTATCAACCTCATTCAACAGTAGCTATATCAGGATGCTACATGCTAAGTGATTCATAATAGAAATCTCAGTGACACCTTTAAAGTGAAAACAGAAAGGAGCAAGACAACGTTGCCACCTACTATCACCCATCATCTTCTTGATTGTGGTCGACTTGACTGGATCATCCAACAGACAACTGTGAGAAGGTAAGCATACGCTGTTTGACCGATGAAAACACCCCCAGAAGACTTGGATTTCGTCAATGATGATGATGATTTATGTCTAATGTCGTGTCGCACAAACTCGAAGATCTACAGGCGAAAACTAACAAGTTGGCAGAAGAGGCCAGGCACTGAAGACAGGACTTCAGGTGAACATACAAAAGACAGAGGTTATGAGGATACTCAACCAACGGGAGAAATATAAAACAAATTGTCCCTTTCACCTACCTACTCAAGCAGCATCATCTCAACTACACCGACAGGTGGCGACCGCAGCACACATGAAGATGTCAAAGCCAGTCACCATCGGAGAGACAGCAAGACAGGCCTCCCTGCATTAATCTCAAATAATCAGTCTGAAGATATACTGCACTCCACTCAGCATAAGAAGTGAACAACATTCGGATTCTCAACACTAATTCAGTCAAGTAAGTCAGTGCTTCTATGTGATGGTGGTTCAGAGACTTGGCGTGTTACCAAAAGCATTTCCAACAAACTACGGATACACATCAACACCTGCCACCTACAATCGCTGACTCGATACTGACTGACACTGAAGATCAGATGACGAGAATAAAAAGAATGAGAAACAATGAACTCTGTCTGGTCCCACAACGAACCGATCAATAACCCATTGCCCAACAAATATTCAGGAGAAAGTGGAGATGGGTTTGATTGGATATGTAGTGAGAAGACGATTTGGGGACATCACGCACCACGTCAGGCCTTCGAATGGGACCCAAATGAGAAACGACGAGTTTGGCGTCCGAGATGAGGGTGACATGGAGGAGATGGTGTGAGGAAGAAATGAAGGCTTGTGGGCAGTTGTGGAGCGAGGTTGAGGAGAGTGCAGAGAAGAGAGTGAAATGGCGAGGTGCTAGTGAAGCCCTATATTTCAGTAGGAATCCAGGGGACAAATAATCATAATAATATAAATGCTTAATCAAATAGAACAGAAACACTTCTAACTTTTTGCGAAACAGCATTTAAGATAATTGTATAGTGAGTAAGGATACTAGTACCAATAAAAAAAATCTACTTTTTCATATTGCTCAGTAGACATTAAATGAGGCCATGCATAATTTTGTACATCTTTACGGTGCAGAAATTTCTCCACTGGATCACTGTGATTATCATTCAGAATACCAATTTTATGCTGAGTAGAATCATTTATCACAGGAGTAGCTCCAATCATTGAAGTACTATGATTCATATTAGCGTCTATACGTGATTGAAACTGATGATGTGTATTCATTAGTAAACTATTCGATTTATTTGACTCATTGACTATTGAACTATTAGCTATTTGAGGTTGAATAATATTCATATTGCTATTATTCATAATGAGATTAGTAACATATACATCTGTAGAATTCAATGTTCGATTCAATGAAGAAGTGGAACGATGAAGTAATGCCAAAAGAGATTGTACTCGTGAACGTTCACCATGAGAAAGGAACCACTGAAATAAAAATTTCAAAGGAAAAGATTGCAAATAATAACTTGTATTTTCACCTTTACAACTTGTTGAAGTATTTCAAATGGAAGAGTTTTCACATTTAATAATCTAATAGTTGTGAATTGAATATCCAAATTATCGAGACAATAATCAAGAAAAGGGTAATCATATACTTATTGATTTTATTCTATCCTTTGATAGAATATTTGTTATCTGATAAGTACAGGAGTCAAATCGATAACAATCCAATTTGGAGATTTGTCGGGATTTATTGATTTTAAATTGGTTGGCCATGAAACCTAAAGGTCCTAGGTTCGATCCCTGGCGGGCAGGGTCATGAGTGAGTACTGCTGAGTCCCATAAAAGGGTTTTCAATTTCCAGTTCATGATGAATACCAACCAGATAACAATTATATTCAAAAGTAGTTCTGTCAACTGATGGTATTCATCCAGTTGACATTTGGAGGCACCCAGTATTCCACCAGCATGATGATTCAAATGTTATCGAAATGGATAGAAGTCTTCCTAAAAATACTGGCTAAATGCGTTATGTACTGATAGTAGAATGATGGGATTTATGTTATTTACTTTCTAATTGACGTTAGATGGTTAGAAGTAATCGGCAGAAATTCCTAAATTCAACTACTGTGCTCAACCAAACTTGTTAGCATGAAGTATTTTAAAAAAGTTGTGTAGCTTGAGAGATTTGTACCAGCGTCAGCTAACGCTACAATCGCAGAAATAACCACTTAGCGTCTTTCTGTTATGAATATCATTCTACTACTATGAGAATACTGAAAATAGACGATTTGCTATAACCATACTAGTAAATAACTGGACATAAAAGCGATCCAGTGCACATATACGAAGGATTGCGTTGGATTTCCTGGTATGCATAATCAGCATTCGTATTCCCATATTGATTTCTCTTCTCAAGACAATTGATATTCTTTCTTATTTTTGTGCAAATGTCAGTGAAAAAAACGAAGTAGAGATTTGTGTACGTAGCTATTCAGCCTAAAGAGATGCTTATATACTCTCAAAATAGCCCAACAATTGCACAATCTATGAAGTAGCTCAAGAGAATATCTGTGTTCACTACCGATATAGTTTCTAACTTTGGTTGGTAAAGCGTATTCTGGATAGTTTTAGTGGTGAGTAGGAGTAGGATCCAGGATATGAAGGTCATCTTGTTTGGAACTCATCAGCTGGATGCATCCGACGCTAATCTTGCCGAGACTCAAACTTACTACTTATCACTTTGCACATCAAAGCATTATCTACCAAACAACGGTAATCCGTATAATAACTATCCAGTCCATTGTTTTAACGAATGTTCTGGAAGAATTTGACAGCCAAGTCTGATTTAACTGCTATAATTGATCATAATGTCAATGTGTTTCAAAAAGCAAAACAAGAATTTTTCAACGTTTCGTTTAAATCAATAAAATCCGAATGTTTTATTACTGAAGAAGCTGTGGTGTACACAGTGAAAAGTTCAGAAAAATCTTGTTTTGATCTTTTAAACATGCTGGGATTATATTGAAAACTTACTTTTATACTCGAAATGCACTCAACAACCAAGTGAAATAGAGGCGATGAACCACACCTTTTGGTATGACGGCTAATAGTATTACTTGGCTGCTTACACTTCGGTAGGTGAAGGGTTCGAACGTACAACCTACTAGCTGTATTTCAATTTTTGTATCTTTTACATAGATAGATATATATTATGTGTTGATAAGTACAAGATTTGAATACATCTCATCTTTAATTTTATTTATGACATACTATCGTAATTAGCTATTTTAAACATTGACGAGGCATCGAAACTAGTCTTTATCTTTTCTTGGGAACCCTAGTGACCCTTCGATCGATAAGAGATGGAAAATGAAGACTAAATTTTCCCCTCTAAACTGAGACGATAACTTTGATTAGAGTACAGTCATGTAGTATGCTTAATATACATGAAAGGATAAAATATACATGTGCATAGATCCTGGAAAATGTTATTATTTATCAAATATAGAACATGTTAGTAGGTTGTTCAATAAATATTGAAACCTTAAGCGGAATGAATATTAGAAGGAAACTTGTCAGAAAATGATATATGAACATCACTGAAATTACAATAATTCTAGTTCCTTTCCTTGAATGGTAAACGCATCAAATATCTTAACATGAAAAAGGGTTGAAATCATGTTTACGTAATTTGTTTACAATCGTAAGTTTTCCCCAGATATCAACTTACTTGAAGAGCATAATCAGGCAGTTTCCATTCAGGGGATACACGTTTTAATATCACCGCCAAACGATGATGATGAAAACGATTACGTTGATCCGTTTCGTTTAACAAATTTACAGAGCTTAATTCACCACCACTACTAGTGCCAGTATCACCAGTAGATAAGCTGTACTGTTCATCTTGTACTTCTAAAAGATAACACCAACGCATTATTTGATCACGATCTACAAATTGCTCAGCTAAGTCTAAAGCAGATTCAGGTCGATGTAGTTGATCACCTATACATAAAGGGATTTAAGAAAAGTGTATCAAAACATTGAACAGATTAGTCAGGTGGAGATAAATTAATTAATCTATTTATTGAAGACAAAATTCCCGATAAAGATGTCGAAAGATGAGGGGTCTGAACTTCAGAAACAGGAAAAATAGGAGATTTTCTTCAGTTATGCTTGAAAATGCTATGCTAGTAATGTTTAGTGATTTTAAATCCTTTCATTATTTATCTAATCACAATGAAAAGAGAACACAAAATAAAGAACACGCCTTTATTATCTATGTGTCGCCAATAACCTAAAATTTGCCTCGACTCCGGTAATGCAGAAGCCATTGGTTCGAATCCTACCGCAGTCTAGGCTGTTGTTTTGGTTTAATATTATTATTTTCAAACAAGAGGGCTGGTACATGCACACACATGAACAGTTAAACAGCACTTTAAAATTAAATACAATGAACTTACCGACAATAGAAATAAGATATTCCCTTAAGCTTGCATACCAATGTTTTAATCGCCTTAAACGTTGTATTGCTTGTATACGATTTTTGATATCACGTTGAGTTTGTCGATTATCTTGAAGAGTTTCTTTGTTGGAAGACAATGCCCAAGATGAATTAATGGTAGCCCAAAAGACACGTTGTTTTGCAATACTTAAAATACTATGAATTAAATCAATTGCATATTTAGTAGAATCAGTGATGAGTTGGTGATTACTAGTTGTTTGTTCTGAGTTATTTCCACTTTCAGTCTCCAATACCAATTTATTTGATCCAACTTTAACAAGATGATTTAACTACAACATAAAATGAATGTAAGTGAAATTATAAAATAATGACTTTTACAAAATTAAATTATCCTTGTTGAACAAATATTGTTTCCAGGTGGTAGTTATCATTATGACATTTGAAAAATTGACAGCAAAATAACTATTTACTGTTTGTTGAATCCACTGTGTACCTTTTGGTATATAAAGCTAAGAATAAGAAATCAGTTGTCAATTCCTTTCTGGTTTAACCTGTGTGATGTCAACTACTGTGCTTCTTTTTGCCCCTTCAATTTTAGACTACTTAGTATTAGTGAGTAATATGCTTCGTTCTCAGTAATATTCCTTCATCAACAACGTCGCTGTTCATTCGATTTAATTGTTTCTTGTTCCACTCGCCACCCAGTGTTATAATCTGCAACTTCATCACTGAGCTATTCAGACCGTTGTTAAAGAAATATAAGGGAGAAAGAGACTACAGGTTTTAGTTGAGTCAGTGAGTAATAAGAACAGGTTGGCTATTTTTGTGCACCATCGATTATTTTGGAAGAAAAACCTGAAATGCTCTAGTAACACAGACATGCTCTATATGACTGGCTTGGATAATATCTAGTCAGACAAGAAGAGAAATGATGGTACCTACAGGTCGATTCATCAGCTTGAGTTGTATCCCCCTCTGACAGGTTCATAGTAGAACAAATCTTGATTATGTTCCAGAAAGCTCTACATGTGGCATAATTGAAGATAGATGTACTCATAGGAAGATAATTTAATCAATGAGGTAGTGGATTCCGACTAATTGAGGCAAGTAAGGGATGTATAATGCATACCGGTTAATCGTTTACTGCAGCATTTGATACTAGCTGAGATGTAACTGACACACGGTATCAATTTATGGAATAACTGACTGTTGTTCTGAAACAGGTGGATCAATGTAGACTACCTGGTCTGAGTCTCTGAGAAAAGAGAAGCTAACAACAATTATTAGCCTTAAAAGTCACTAATCAAATCTATACTAGCCATATAAATATCTCTAACTGTGGTTTTACTGTAAAATTTTGAATACTCTTATTCCTCATGCTTACAAGTCTTTGCTTCATTCATTGTTCTTTATCCTGATCAGTAAAAAGAAGTTAATTTTGATGCATTCCTTCAAAGGAAATGTATTTGAACACATAAACTACTGTCCCAAGTTTTTATTTCCCTAATAAATAAAAGGGGATACGGTAACTATGACAGCTTACTGCATGTCAAGTTTTCTCTGTCAATCTCTTTTTGATGTGAGGGAATGAAAATTAGTTGGTTTTGAAGGGAATCAACTAGTACTCTATAGAGTTATGGCTCACCGGTCAAGGTACTCGACTTCCTACCCATGGGTCGGGTGTTCAAGCCCGTCTCCGGTTTCTGAATTTTGAGCAGTCAGGTAGTATTATTAATCCTCACACAATATGTGTGGTTCATTGCCTAGTCCACGAACCTAATTTTTATGACACTGATGTGGCTTAAAAGTGGTAAATTAATAAAGATGTTGAATCAATAATTTAGTTGAATACTGAAAGTCTCAACTTCATGAGAAAGAACAGATTGATGTGTTAAGCAACAAAAGAAGATAATGGTTTTCCGATTTCAAAGAAAACCTATTTGAGAACAGCAAGGTTGCTGCTAATCAACCTTCCATATCGGTTAATATTAAGATATATAAACAATTTAGTCACCCATTAGAATTTGGCATACAATTTTCCAATACTTTAATCTCTAACAACGTAGATAGTTGGTTATCAGTGAAGATTTGAAGATTTTATTGTGTCGAAAAAGCATCAGATCCCATGAGAGCAACTCTTGATTTTTCATGAACACTTCATGATAGTGAATTTGGGGTTTGTGGGGATTTAGAGATTCTTTTTTTTGAAGTTGGTATTTATCATGGACTGATATCAGTTGGAGGAGCATTGGGAACCTGGGAGCGCTGAACGGCCGTTTCGTCCTAGTATGGGACTCTTCAGCATTGCGCATTGGTGACTAGCTTTGAGAGGTGATTCCTGAAGCTCCAGTGAAAAGTCGTGACCGATGGGACAAACCTAATGGACGTGAGGAAAAATACTCAACGATGACATTGGGTGATGGTCGCGCTGTATCGTGAACTGACAGAAGTTCGAAATATGGACTATTGGATTCCGACACAGTGGCTCAGTGGTAACGTGCTGACCAAGGAACATCCAAGTGGTGGGTTCGATCCCTGGAGGGCGGGGTCGCGGGTGCGCGCTGCCGAAGAGTCATATACTAGGACGAAACAGGTGTCTGGTGCTCGCAGGTTTCCAACGTCCCTCCAACTGACGTCAGTCCATGGTTAATACCAAATTCGTGATACCTTGAGAAATTCGACTTTACCTTTTTAAAATATCATTGCAATAAAACAAAATCATACAATTCATGAGTTAGATTTTATAATATAAAAATGCATAACTATCAGGAAAGATAAATGAAACTGACCAGTTTTAACAAGATATTTCCAAGGCCATATGGTTCCTCATCGGTAAGCCAACAAGGTAAATAATAAACTTTTCTAGACGATTGATCTATTTGACTGTATGATTCTATGGTTTTAAGCAATATGGGGAGATGTATTTCCCGATATCGTACAATTTCAGCTACACCAGCCTATCGTAATGAAAGTTAATGGAAAAGCGATGGGATATTTTATTTCACATGAATAATTCACTACTGTAAAATGAAAATATTCATGCAAAACTGGACAAGGATTATGACTGAAAGTGAACGAAAACACCAGGTTTATATTCACATTTGAACTGTGTGATTAACCGGTTCCAGTTCCAAATCCCCTACCCCCCCATCAATCTGGGTTACCTAAGTTCTAATCGATTGAAGTTGTTTTTATTTCATTCAAACTGTAACTTACACAAACATAACCCGTTTCCAATGTCAACTTCTTTCTCTGCGCCTAATACATTCACAGTACTATTCGGTCAAAACTTGATCATACTTCATATAAATTACTCTGCAGTGTTAATAAGGAAAAAGTATATAATTTAAATCGATTAGAACTTTTAAGTTCCCCTAGGTAGCCTAGACTGGTAATTCAAGATATTTATACGGAGATGGAGGATTTAGAATTTGGGTGAGTTCTTTTGTGTACAACTGTCGAAAACGTAATCCTTTTGAAGTATTCCGTTTGACTATAAATGATAGTGGAAGAGGAGTCTGGTAAAGGTGTATGTCCAGAGTTGACCAAATGTTGATGACTTGAACTGTTAATTGATTTACACTCTCCCTTCGACAATAATGCGGGATAGGGCTTAGAGATACGTTTGGAAAGCGCGCACTTTATGCGACCTATACAACTAGTTCCACAGAAGCAAGTAAATTTGTAGACAGACAATGAGGTGGCTAAAAGCGGCAACTTTTTCTAAATACACCATGGAGCCAATTTCTTACTAGAGAAGAATGTCTTCTTTAGCGATGTAGACAACTGATTCTTCAGGATCTCAGCTGTCTATCACCTTTGAAACCAACGTTCATAAACAAAGTCATCTCTGGAGCTGTGAGAATTTGCTCTATATTCTGCTTTAATTTCAAGTTCTCAATAAATCTGAATGGGTATCCATTTTGTATGAGAATTTTCCATAGTATATGCAATTCATCATCCATAGTATCACTCGTGCAGATTTTGATTCTGGACGACGAAGAATCAGTCAGACTTCTTTTTCTGTTGAGAGAGGCACCCATCTATGGAAATTCAAGTATTGTCTATTCATGTTAGTCTCCTATAAATTGACCTCTGAAGGGAGGTATATGGTCTCAGTTTCAATAAGACAGAGAAAATGAAATTCTGAGTTCTCTTCAAATACTGATGCGAACTTGACCAACGGGTGATAATCACTAAACTTTTTAATTACAGTCTGTATATGATGAATGCATCATCCATATAGGTAAAAACTATTAACATCTACCAACAATTTTCACTTTTTAGGTTGATATCCATCATGGACTGACATCAGTTGGAGGAAAATTGGTAACTAGCTTTGAGAGGTGATTTGTGAAGTTCCAATGAAAAGTCGTGACCAGTGAGGCAAACCTGGTGGACATGAAGACAAATATTCAACGATGACATTGGGTGATGGTCACGCTATATTGTGAACTGACAGAAGTTGGAAATATGGACGACTGGATTCAGACACAGTGGCTCAATGATAACGTGCTGACCACGGAACATCCAGGTCGTGGGTGCGCGCTGCTGAGGAGTTCTATACTAGGACGAAACAGCTGTTCAGTGCTCCTCCATCAACTGATGTCAGTTCATGATGAATACCAACTTGAAATCAATAAGATCGCCACAAACTCGTAAATTGAATTTTCGTCTTCTAAAATTTCTCAACTATACCCTATTGTTTAATAATAGACTGTTATATGTTTGTGATAAATACGATATTGTTAGGAAAGAAAATTTTCTTTATCAATTAATTTGGTAACATCTCTTAGAATGAATTTCGACAAGAGATATAAAATATCATTCCTATTCATTTCCCAAAAGGAAAGAAAGTCAAGTTAGTGATAAATTTATGCTAAAAGCTACTCAGTTTACAATTAGAAGGGGAACAAAAACTACTATATAACTCACCTCAATTAAACGTGAAACATGTACCAAAAATTCAACACTATTTCGATTTGTTAAACTATCCAATTTTCTATTCATATTAATTGATAATTCATGAATTTCATCAGATAATACAACAGTAGCTAATGACATTTGTGTATCAATCACTTCACAGAATCTTTTAATTAATTGAGGGATTAAAGTGACTGTTTGTAGAGCAGCATCTTGTGATTTAATAACTTGTAAGTAGCTAGAAGTAAAGCCTGCATTCATAGCAACTTCATTGAATACTGATTGATATAAAGATTGAGGCTCTCTATAACAAAAGAAAGAAAATAAAATTAAGACGAGAAAATATATAAGTGTAGAAATTTATATGAATAATAAAATAAAAAAAGGTTGAAGATAGATGACTATAATATGGAAAAATCAGATACTATACAAGACAGTATTGTCAGTACGGCAAATTCCATATTCATAAGGGTGTTTAAGTGAACGATCCAACTGTAGAAAATGATGAGTATAAGAAAATTTAACTGAACTTTCAATTATGCTGTATTATGTTTGAAAATATACTATTAGCAAGGTAAATCATAGAAAAACAAGGATTATTCATATTCTAGCGAAAGATGAAACCATTAACACGAACAATATAGAACATGACGTAAATTTATAATAGTGAGTCAATAAAGGCGTAGAATTTAATCCAGTAGATCTTTAGGACACTTAATAGTATTACAATATGTAAAACAGTTGTATTACTTTATTCGAAGAAGTGGAGATCCGGCAAATAAGTTTGAGTTGACAGCTGTATTGTGTTCTCTCAGCTGGGTTATTTAATCGTGGAGCTTACATTGTCTTTCTAGACGACATCATCACTATTAACTTCAGTATGAAGTTAGCTATCAATATCTCTCCGTGACTGATTGTTTCCTTTGACTGTATAGATTTTCCTGTTAGCTGTTTCTCTGCTTGACCTCTCACCTTTCTGTAGTTTATCATTCTTCTCATTGGTTGATAGATTGGGTTTATGTCTATACATCTGTTTATTGCTGACTGACTGACCTGAATGCCAAGCTTCTAAGAATTCTCTGAAATTATTTGTGTTTCCTCTGTTCAAGATTTCTACATTGTCAACATTGAATTCATATCCACGTGCATTGAAATGAGTGATGAAATGTTGTGTGTAACGTTTAATAGCCAATTGATGTTAATGTAGACGAAGGCGAAGAGGGTGACCAGTGTTTTCAATGTAGTGTTCACTACACTTATTGCAGTTGATTTCGGCTGATGGAACTTATCGACTTTTGTCTGGCAACATACTTCCAATTCAATGGCAAGATATACAAACAGATGAAAGGAACCCCAATGGAATCACCGATATCCGGACTAATTGCAGAAGTAGTGATGCACAGACTAGAAGCCATCATCCTACATGTGATCAAACCAAAAATTTGGATTCGCTATGTGGATGATACTTTTATCATCATTAAAAAGATATAGAAAACACTCACAGTTTGATCAACGATGTTTTCAATGACATCAAATTCACAATGGAGAAGGAGTCAAACAACCAACTACCATTCCTGGATGTTCTAGTCAGTAGGACAAATGCCGGAAAGCTGGAAACCCAAGTTTACAGAAATCTAACCCACACTGATCAAATCCTCAACTACAGTAGCAACAACCAAACAACGCACAAAATTAGTTGTGTGCAGACTCTATTCAGAAGAGCGAGAACACACTGCAGTACAACAACTTCACAGAGAAACGAAGAAAATTACTTGATGTCCATCCTAAAGGAGACAGCTACCCATGGAACTTTATCAGAAAATGCCTATCCCGTACATCATCAACTACAAAGTCATTGACAGAAATCAACAAACGCATCATCCTACCGTACATAAAGAATATATCAGAAATCACTACAAGATTACTGGAACCACTTGGAATTGGTATGGCTCATAAACCAACATATTCCCTTTAAATCATATCTTGCAAACCAAAGGATTCAACAACCAAAGAAGAGAAACCGACCGCGGAAGGTTTAGAGCCAGCGACCACCGGGCCGAAAACCTAGTGGCCGCTGGTTCGAATCCCGCCGCGGTTCAAATTGTCACTTCACCTTCAATCGTCATCTAGTATAAATACTTTATTGAGTTAGATGCAGCACTTGTTCGCTACGCCCGAAAATAATACTTTTTATCAGTAATAGATATTTTGGTGACATTTTCTTAATGGTTACTTGAGTTTTTGGTTTAGTCTCGCTGGTTAACACAATCATACGTATGTTAATTTCAGTGGTTGTCAGTAATCGAATAGATGTCGTAAGTCCCGTTCTATTTGCGTTTCATCAGCTGGTGGTACCGTTATTTAAAAAAGATCCCAGTGCTTATTACTTCACATATTCAACTGTTATAAACCGGACTGCGGAGAGATGATAGTCACTTCTTGTTTGGCATGATATACTACTATATCACATTAGGTGTTATCAGACCTTAATAGTTCTCACTAATGACATTCAGGACAGATCTGATGTCGATGCTGGCATAAACGTTCCTCGTGAGGAAGGTTTCGACGTTACCTTTTATTATATCTTATGATGTGGAGCTCTGACTCACTGGTCTAGGTATTCGATTTCCAACGAGCGGGCCATGAATTTGAACCTTGCTTACCGAAGTTGGAGTAGTCAGGTAGTAGTACTGGTCCTAACACAATAGGTTTAGCTAATTGCTTACTACACGAACGGGTGTATGGTTGATGGGTTACAGTTAGGGAATATTGCACACACACACACACACACCGTCAGAATAGCGCACTATCCTCTAACTGCTGCGTTCTAGAGCCTGACGTATATCCTTTTTAACTGGGTTTAAGACAGCCAAAGCTGAATCTTAAACTTAAAAAAGGGTGCGCGTGTCCGGCTTTAAGAACATGTCGCTCGGGTTCTCCAGCTATGAACCAGAATTACTAACTCGACTCATTTTTAAGGCATTTCAATAAAGAAATAACCTTTCACGGTGCGGAAAACTGGGAAGTGTCAACCACCCTCACAAATCTATCAGCACTCAAGTCCCCTTAGATCACTATCAGCCTGGCATATTATCTCCCTCTAATCTCTCTTCACTTTTTTCGTTTGATATTTCTACATTATCTTGGGTTTTTTTCAACTATGCAGCCTATGATAAGGATCTGAAGTTCACGGGACAGCATCCCTGATCTCCTGAAACCCCACTCCAAACTACATCTTGAAGCTACTAGTGTTTACAGCCTCTGTCAAATCAGCCAAGCTTCACTAGCCAAAACTGGCATTTTGAGCCATGAATGTACTCTGTGTTTCTCAGAAATGAAGGCGAAACCAAAGTATAGTTACTCACTCAACCTCAGCAGGTTAATACGGTGAGTCTGCAAAACTAACCCTTCTAGTTTCTGCAAATTCAATGACTACTTTCCATGATCTTTCAGATATAGGTATATCATTAAGTGCTAAGGCAGAAAGTGCACTACCCGGTTAGATTACAGTTAACAGTCAGCTGTTTGACAGAACGACATAGTGAGGACTAAAAGGAATGGTGAAACTCACTGTTGTGTCTTTGTAACCCCTACTTAGGCACGCACTGATAACAGTTCGGATAAATCTACCGAGAACTGTCTAGTCTCCTACTGAAAGCCAAACATTCGGATGTACTTCTCGGTGGAGGTGATTTTAGTGTACAAGTGGGTAGGCTGTCATGCAGAAAGGCAAACGGATAATGGCGACTACCTGATACAACTGTACCTGAAAAGCAATTCTATCCTGGATAGAAAGAACTTCAGATGTATAAAGAGACATCGTCTGACGTGTTCTCCATCAAACTCAACTCAACGGTGGACACAGATCCACAAGATCTCTATCAACTATCGTTGGAGAGGTTAAGTGGAAGGTTGGCAACTTCATCTGAAGCAAGTGTTTGGACAGTGACCAAACATATATCTGCATCTGAATGGATGTAGAAAAATTATAAGTATAAGATGATTCGAAAGCCACCTTGGCGATAAAAATACTAAAGTTACTACCAATGGAAAAATGGTTGGGCAATTTTCAGAAAGGGACAATGCCACTCATCCAAAAGAATCCTGGTCTCATCTCATCTGCTGCAAAAACGGCGCTAAAGACAGTAACTGTCTTTCAGTAAGATGTTAGAAAGTGCCAGAGGATCTCAGAATTTTCTGCTGAGTTAATGGATGCATGTGAATGTATCCTTGCACACTCTGAGTACAATGAGGAGTAGGGGCAACACAAATGTAGCCTGAGTTACCTACCAGTGACACTCAGAAAAACAGTTACCATTCGGTTGTCTATCTAGTTAGATCTTGAAAGAAACACAGAAACAGGTTCCCAAATTCTTGTAGAAGACGAGAAGGCTGTAGGTGATCTGAAAAGTACCGCATGAGCTAGTATCAGAAGTACCTAAGGATGGTAGGTGAGTTTTATTGGTCAGGTTAACTAAGGTGCTAGCTAGTGTATGAGAGTTAGATATGTTCCCCCTTGATTGGTCGCAGTCTCCAAAAAAAGAAATCCTTCTGTGATCACCAAAGGGGAATCAGTCTAGCCACCGTAATGTCTAGGAGCGTAGAATAATAATCACTAAACGCCGAAGTGCAGTTTCGGAACACCAAACTCCTGAAAACCAGGTAGCTTTCGGATTTGTTGGTGGGTGTATCGACTATAACTTCGTCCTCCCACATATGAGAACTACTGGAAACCAACACCGGCTTTTTTTGTACCTAGAGGTGGCATTTAACTCCATCGATAGAGATATTTTGCGGGAAGAGATACTGGATAAATAGATCGCTCCACTGAAGATTCTATCTGAACCCCTGTCGGCATGTTACGAACTATGGTAAGATGTTACATGTTGTGCGACAACGCCCTTCATTCCCATTTAATTCCCTCGATGATGCAATTATGGAAGTCTCTATTTTTTTTGCTGATTCCATAGGGATTCACCTTATCACGGGAGACCCCTCCGTAGACCTGGAGTACGCAGATAGCATAGTCTTGTCCAGTAAAGAGACTGACAAGACATAGGGTTTTCTGGATATCTCGACTGGTAATTCTAGAGTGTTCGGGATGCGTTTCTCATCATCCAAATGCAAACTGATGTTCCGGGACTGGTCTATGTCGGTGTCTCTTCTAATAATCGGGAGTGAATTCGTTGGGCGCGTTGATCACCTCACTAACTTAGGGAGTCTGATCATCCTCTGATGGGTCAGTGACGACGAAATCTCTGCATAGATGCAAAATGCTCAACTGGGATTGTTTATAGCACCACTGAGAAAAAACCTGACTACCTATTAAAAGACGAGTTTACTGCGTAGTAATCCTAGATCGTTTGTTGTTGCCAACTGTCTGACTGAGATTGATGCGAAATACAGATGATAGTAGCTTATGATGATACACTAGGTCCTTGAAAAATTACTTTAACACAGCTAAACATTAGAACACTGACAAATGAAACACTTAATATGTCATGGAACTGTAGCTAAATGCTTCAGACAGTCGTTTGTCAACCACAGATCCGAATTTTAATCCACTTGCTATGAACATCATAAGCGTAGTTTTCTACTCAAAATATATAACTCGAGGTATAGAAAGTGAGTTGTGAAGTTAATCGTGTATCATGAAACTAACTATTTTGTACCTCAATAAACCAAAAACAACTTACTTGGCTAATTTATTTTGTAAAGCTTTTGCAAATTCAGTTATTTCACCAGCCATATGTAATCCACATAAAACATGCGTTTCAGCCCAATCTAAGCCATCATCCATTGGGCAATCATCAGCTGCTTTAATTATATTATCGAAATCTAATGATTTAAGTAGTCGACTAGCACAATCTTCAACTAATTGATCATAATCAGGAGAACAACAAGCATATTTTGAATTAGGGAATGTGTTCATAACAGTTTGTATTTCATCAGCAGCATCAATATCATTATCATCACCATCATCATCATTACTATGACATGAATCAATATTTGTAGTGAAGGATTGTTCATTCATGAGACTACGAACTTCATGATAAAATTTAGCATTTTTCATATTTTCCTGTGATGTTTTCATTTTTAAATAAACATTACAATTGATCTCAGTATCATCTTCACTATCTAATGAAGAATATATTAAAATATTTAAATGCTTAGGCAAATCAGTCAATTTCACAGATGAAACAATTTTTACACCAAGACAACTTGATTGTTCACATGATAAGTTGTACATTAATAACCATAAATCTTTTAGATTCTGTAAAGCATCTAATCGTGCACATAAACGAGATACAGGCAATAGTAAAGTATCTGTAGATCCATGATGATTAGAATTATTGTGTATAGCAGGGACAATATACTGGAATCCATAAGATCCTTCTGATTCAAGATAATCAAGATTGGAGACAGGAATTGAATTGACTAATGCAGTCAACTGTGTATTCAACCATTGCCAACGAGCATCAGACACTGGATGTTCATTTAGTATACGTTTAGCTAGACGGAAGTATACTACTGAAAGATGCTCTTTAACAGATGTATCATGGAAAAGACATTTCAGATAGTTAGCTGTTTGTTCCTGTAATTATAAGAAAGAAATAGGAAGGATATAATTATTTACTCAACAGCTGTCTACGCTGGCTCAATACTGAAGATCAGATAGCCAGAATAATAAGAATAAGCAACAAGGGACTGTGGCTGGCCCCACAATGAACCATCCAGGAACCCATCGCTTAACAAGTATTCAGCAGAAGAAAGTGGAGATGGATTGGATCGGGCATACACTGAGAAGGTCGACTGGGGACATCACGCGCCAGGTCAGGCCAAGCCATCGAGTGGAGCCCAGGCGGAGAACGATGAGTTCGGCGTCCGAGGAGATGGTGTGAGGAAGAAATGAAAGGTTCTAGGCAGTCAGTCGTGGAACCAGGTTAAAAAGACTTCAGAGAACAGAGTGAAATGGAGACGTGCTACTGAAGTCCTACGTTTCAGTAGGAACCCAAGGGACAACTAATAATAATAAAAATTATTTACTCAGTTAATAAGATTTCAATTTTATGAACTTGGCAGTTAAATTTCACAAATCTGTTTACACTTTCAATTCACTGACTAAGTCAGTTTGCGAAATTAGTATCAATATTGCGGTGGGAAAGAGGATTCAACTTTGAAACTGTAAAAGCTAAACAGAATACGTAAGTTACTTCAGTGTTAGCTGATTGTGGCATTAGTAACTCGTATGCAGAGGTTTGGTTCATTTGGTTTAGGCACTTGACTTTCAACCAGTGGGCCACGGGTTCGAACCCCGATCCATCTACCAAGGTTTGATCAGCCAAGTAGTATAGTATCACTAGCCCTCACACAATAGGTGTGGTGGTTTATTGTCCACTTGACGAATGTACACAAGGTTGCTGAGTTTATTTCGAAGTAACTAGTATTACCAATAAGTAACAAACACCAAAGCTATTGGGCAGGAGTAGTTGATCATCGGTTTGAAGGTCCAGAGATAAAATCGTATTTAAGCGGCATCCAACAGACATAAACGCACTTGTCTATATGGTTAAACTACTCAACTTCATTTTACTGACAAAACGAACGAAAAATGAAACGCACTTAGCCACCTTGTGTACATCCATGCAGTGGGTAAATGAGACACACCTGGCTTCCCAAATCTCAGTAGGTGGGACGGGACTAGAATCAATGACCCAATGGTTGATAGTCATCTACCTAAACCACTGATCCATAACTTCATTCACTCAACGGTTCTGATGAAGGGTCAGTTTTACTAGAATTAATCTAAAATCAAGTTTGAATTCCAAGGGTTTATAGAACTATCTCATTAACTCTAGCTATTTAGGCTTACATTTCAATGATTTTCGAAAATGACTATAACGAGTTCGTTTAAAACTCCTAACGTTACACCTCAAAGTTTTCAGTTTCAGTAGGATGATGGTCTGATTTGGGGTTTGCTGATAGCCAACTGAATCGGTTTCTTTGAAGATTAAGAAGTCGGAAACTTTATTACTAAAATATTCTTAACATAAAAAAGCCGAATAAAAAGAGTTGGAGTGTGACTCAGTTCAGTTTTCACATTGAAAACTTTATCAACAGACTTTGAATACATCAGTTTCCCTTCAGTGACCAATTCCCATCAATCATCCAATGTTTATTATAATTAAAGATGTGAACAATATCAACTTACTTTGAATCCCATCCAAAATACACGAGCCACCTCTGATAACGCAACAAACAATCTATCAATAGGATGAATTTTAATCGGTTTATCAGGTGATTCACCAACTGATGATATAATATATGTATTCATTGTAAACATGACATTAACTCTCAGGCGTTTATCATCAGTTGTATGCACAATAATTGAGAAATCCGGTTCAGTATGATGCTGCTTCTGAGAGGATGCTGTAGTGTAACTGAATTTTTTGAAAAATAGAAATATGAAATTGTGAGATAAGTGACAGTAAGGAGTTGAGAATTAATAAGTAGTAGAACGGTGAAAAGATTAACGGTGAAACTTGATAAGTTCATATCTAAACACACCAGTCGGGTAGTAGCCAGTTGGTAGAGTACCAGACCAGAAACCCGATGGTCGCCGGTTCGAATCCAGCCGCAGCCCAAATCTTCATTTCACTCTCAATCACCACCTAGTGAGAAAATTTAATGTCTATCATCGAAAACAAGAGACTGAAGCTCGGTGAATGGTGAAAATAAGACCTTGACTTAATGGTTTCATATTTTAGTGTTTGTTAACGCACATGCAAGTAGAAGATTCGATTTAAAGTTAGTCAGGAGTACTAACTACTAAAAAGTGTCTAGAATAAAACAGCCATTTTCTCACTTGTTTATACGTTTTAACCAGTTATATAATCGCAGCCAGGTATTGGACTTAGCTTACTGCTTGATGTTTTTATTTGCTGATGTGAGTTACGGCAACTTGAACAGCAAAATGATAATGTCAGGTCTTATGTTGATAACAACATAATGGTACTGTGATAAAATGACGCCAGGACGTAATTCACTTTATCAGATTGATTCCGTTAAGAGCTATGCGCATATAAATCGTTGGCAAGTGAGGCAGAAGCTTTGAAGTGTCTATGTTACTGAATTCAGGATGGTCTCAAAGAACCATTCTTTCCTTCAGTGAACTAATCAGAATAAATTAGTGAGCCTTTTACTTAGACTTAGAATATTTTTATGTATGGAAATAGCAGATGTGCATTTTAGTGTTACCTAAAAGGAGACAGCCTCATAGGCACATGCCTTTCACTAACTTTATGGCTCATTGACGTATTAGTAACGCAGATGAAGGTGGAATAGTTATTGATAATGTACACGCTAAGTGCTTTCATGTACTATCATTTTCTTTCCTTCTTCCATAATGGACTCAGAATTTAACGTTTAAATCAAGAAGACATACCTAACATACAGTTGTATACATTCTTGAACAAGGCTTTCTCAGTTTTCAATCACTTTTAAATTCAATTGCAATCAACTTCGTCAATTAAGACGTTTCATTAGCAATGTATTGCATGGAAAACGACATTGGGTAGGTACATCACTCTGTTGAAGACTCTAGCTGAATACCTGTTGGCATGTTACAGTCTATGGTAAGATATTACGTGAGTTATGTACGTCCAGTGGCGTGCTCCAATGCTCTTTATTTTCACTTTGTCATTGACGTGATAAAAGAGGTCTTCATTCCCTCTCCAGACCCCATAGAAATTTACCTTGTCATGAGAGACCCCTCTGTAGAACTGTCGAGTAAAGGAACTGATAAGATATTGGGTTTCTGGACACCTCACAACTGGTAATTTTAGAGTGTTTGGAATGCGTTTCTCATCGTCCAAATGTAAATTGATGTTCCAAGGTTGGTCTGAATCGGCGCCCCGTCTCCTAATCTGTAGTGAAGTGAATAAGTGTAAAGAACACCTCACTAACTTGGGAAGTGACAACAAAATCTCTGCACGGAAGCAAAAGGCTCGACTTGTTTTCACTAACTGGAGCTGCTTATGGTGCAGACATGATGTCTGACTGATGAGTGTGCTGCGCTGCAGCCCACTCAATTCTTCTGCATTACTGTCAAACATGGCCAATAAAGGTTGATGACACGAGAAGACATCAAGTATTCGATCATTGTTAACTTCATAGCACAGGCCACGTGTCATGTAGCCATCACATCAGTAACACAGAAGCAGTGTGTAGAATTTTTGTGTAGAATATGTATGTCAGTTGATGAGATTGTAAACCTTCATCGACTCAGATGGCCAAGGCTTATGTTACGCATACCTACTCACCGTCTTTCCCGTCGCACAAAATTGGTTGAAGTAGTCTCAAGTTGGATAAAGGTTAGATGCTGCTAGAATAAAACAAGGCATCAATTCATTAAGTCTCTGACTGTTGAGTTGAGTCGATATTAGAAAATGGAGACTTTGCATGCGACAACCGAAATAGGCGGTTGGAAGACAGACTCTATGAGATATATTTCAGAAACGACTACAATGGAGTAGGTGTACATCAACACATTATATTCCTCTTAATCGTCATACCAAATTTCATTATTGTTTCGCTCTTCCTCATTCTTTTTTTACAGATTTCTAACACTTTGATGACCTTAGTCCTTATTTCTTTCATTCTTCTTTTTACTTCATAGCTTGATACAGATCAAGCTGTTGGTATGAAGTATGGTAAGGCAGACCGTTACGTAGTATTGCTAGGTTCTACGTTGATGCTGATAGACTAACTACACTGAAAAGACAAGCGTCAATAAACATGACAGAGATTAAGACAAGAATTATCAGTCATTCAGGTTATCAGATTATTCTTAATATATAGGGATAATGAGCAAACTTGGAACGGTAGCCTGAGTCACAAGAGGATTTAGACTGACAACCTTAGAAACACTGACCTAGCATTCTGCCAACCAATGTGATGAGCAGGCAGTTACAAGACTCAGTAGTCCAGATAAGGCTGAGGTCCAATTCGCAGTCAGATCTCGCAGCATCGACCAATATAAACACAGAACTGGGCATTACTGAATAACGGCCCAAGTTTCCACTCTTGACATCAGCACAACAAGTAACAAATTAGTCAAGTGAAAGATGAAGAAAGAAAACTAGGTCAAAAGCAGTAAAAGAGAGGGAGGAAGAATGAGGAAATGTTGAATTTAGTAGGACGTTTAGGATGAAGATAATGTATGGAGACATCTACGCCACTAATATCGATTCTAAGCCATATCCCCTGGAGTCTCCAACCATTGGCTTTTGTTGTCACACGGACCCAAAACAGCTGGTGTGCATCGCCCCACACGGCTTAGACCAACAGTCAAGGACTTCATGCAGTGATGCAATTTTTTAGTCGGGCCACCACAATCTTTTCCAGCCTGAACTTACTTCAGCCAACATTCCATAACGAGATAGACGGTGACTAGACGTATGCAACACATGTTCCAGGCATCTGAGTCGACGAACTTTCACGACCTTATCAACTGATTTTCCTCTCTCCCACTAAAACTCTACAGGATCTCATAGCTGAAACAAGACAGTAATTGGTAGATTAGCAATTTAAACTACTGAAACCCAGGTTTTCAATTAAAATTCAATGTTATCCACATATAAATACTGCGATACTGCATCAACAAACAAAAACGGTAATTATAAAAATTTCGACAAGGCCTAACATATTTTATTATCAATTACCTTGCAATGCTGGAACGTGATTTATTCATGTTTCTATTCAGACTAACTTCTGAACCTGTCAAACTAACTTGATCACCATCTATAATTGATCCACTTGATGGTGGAAGTATGCCCAACACTTCATTCATGCTATTATTACCGACACTACTGCCAACTTGAATATCCATGCATGGTGTTAGACTGAGCAGACCACACTGACAGGTTAGAAAGACAAACAGATTATGTATATCCGAATTGCCAATAGCAATTAAAGATTTTGGGTTAGGTGGTTGATTTGGAGAATTCGGTGAAAATTGTAATCTTCCAATTGACTGACCAGTTAAAACTAAAGAGGATTTACAACAAAGTCATAAAAATAATCAATCATTACGATACAATGTAGGATTCTTTCCTGATGTGGAACCAGATTTGGACCTGATGAGGTACTTATTTAACTAGGTCATAAGCAGTATGGAGAAAAAGTGAAGCGACATGTGATACGGACATCAGAAAATTCAGTTTTTTTCAACTTTTACTTGCTGATGATTAGTGAAACAATAACTCAGATGCAAAAGCAAATAGTGACTGGAGATAAATGAATTACAGATTTCTGGCATATTTGAAGATGGCTGACATCACAAATTATTATCTGTTAGACAACTACTCGATATAGGACAATAATCTGGTCATTTCAAGACTGCTAGACTATGATCCACATATTTTGTATAAGGGAAAGTAATAATGACTAAAATTTCTCAAATTGGTATTCATTATGGATTGAAATCAGTCGGAAGAACATTGGCAACCTAGGAGGACTGAACAGATGCTCGTCCTAGTATGAGACTCCTCAACAGTGGGCACCCATGACTTCTCCCTCCGAAGATCGGACCCACGACATTCAGGTTCCATAGCCAGCACGTTACCATTGAGCTACTGGGTCGGATTCGTATAGTCTCATCACCTCTCGAAGCTGGTCACCAATGAGCACTAGCTCAGTTGAATTTGGGGGTTTGTGGGAATTTACTGATTTTAAGTTGGTACTCATTGGTGACTAGATTTGAGAGGTGATTCCTAAAGTTTCAATGAAAAGTCGTGACAAAGGGGGCAAATTTGGTGGTGGTGAGGACAAATACTCAACGATGACATTGGGTGGTGGTCGCGATATGTCGTGAACTGACAGAAGTTTACAATATAGATCGTTAGATTCCGACACAGTGGGGCAATGGTAACATGCTGACCACGGAACATCCAGGTCGTGGGTGTGCGCTGCTGAGGAGTCCCATACTAGGACGAGTGCTTCCAGGTTTCCAATGTTCCATCAACTGATGTCAGTTCATGATGAATACCAACTTGAAAAATCTCCAAGTCCCCACAAACCCCGAATTCAACTTTAGAATTGTTTATCAAATTTGCCCTAATCTCCCACGTTTTCTTCGTTTTCAACTCCTTAAAACAACGGAGGCCTTAGCTATTCATAGACTAAAATCTGATCTTTGTATACAGAAAAAGTATGCACAGTCATTGTTTTTATCATGACCATGACAGATTTTCCGAAACCCACTAGTTCCCCTTCTACTTTGCTAAATTAACCTTTATATCCTTCATCTCTATTATTATTAGTATAATTACCTTCACTTTAATTAGTTTCCGGTGTTATTTCACTTAATTGCTTTGATCTTTTCAGAAAACATTGATTTTATTCTAACCAACTTGTTTAATCCTATGACACAATACTATATTGATTTGCTACTTTCATTAATTCTATATAAGTTCTATGAACCACTCTATATATTATGTAATCCACCTTGTTACTATTTGTAATTCCACTGCTATCATAATCACCATTTTATTATTATCGTCATCATCATGATTCCCGAGGAGTCTCATACAAGGACGAAACAGCTGTCCAGTGCTCCCAGGTATCCAATGTTTCATGAACTGATGTCAGTTCATAATGAATACTAACCTGATCTACGTACAGCGTTTAATTTACTTCACGAGATGTAATTTTTCAAACATCATATATATACAAATGTACGACTTGGAAATAAATTCGTTGAACAGAGTTTCTTATCTGAATATCTTGTTCTTAATGTAAAAGTAACTAGACCCTAGTAGGGTGTCTCGAAGTCGAACTCCAAGCTACTAATTGAAAGTCAGTGTCTTCAATGAGATGCGCATACGGGAATGATTGCTATTGAGCTTGAAACCAGGAACAGAGGAGATGAAATTTTGTCAGCTTCTGAACCGATTGAAGCCATTGCAACTTTAGTCAATGTCTGACAGGCCATTGTTAACATCATGGTGTAATGTACATTATCATAATCAAATCATACAATGAAATCAATAATGAGCTTTAAGAGTTGGTGTGAAGATGTCGATGACAAGAAATCATCGAATTTAAGAAGTAAAAAAACGATATCCACTTACCTTCAATGATAATAACCTGTCCAGCACGAAGGGAGTATAAACAACCTAACAAACATGGATACAACGACTGAGGTGCCAAATCTGTTGGTAAACAAAATTGGATATCTCTTTCATCTGTTGTAGATAATCTATTCTCATAGAAAGGATATTCGACACTAACAGTAGCATTAATTGTGAAGCATAGAGATGATTCGATTTGATTAAATTTGACTGTGAGAAGACGAAGTTCTTTCGGCAATAGGTGGTCATCAGCACGACTAATAATTATGTAGGCTAGAATTTCATCAGTAGCTGGAGCATAACGATTTGATTGTATTGCAAAGTCAACAGCTTGCCAGTTCAGATCATCATCTTTAAACGATGAGTCGACCAGTGACTCAATAGTATAAGCGCCAACCAACTAAAAATAGAGTTTAATACACACTATTATTTTCTTTGGCTTACAAACATTTTCGGGATATATCACGATAGATAGGTGAATGTTGCAGAATGACCGGAAGATGGTGCTGAAACGGACTAATTATATCACATAGCAGTCAATGACCTCTACAAAGTGAGCAACCAGTATGTATACGTTTATGATTCACCTATCAGACTATCCAAAGTAAGATAAGTAGATCTAGATAGTCCCAGAGACCACATTTTATCCTGGTAATCATTTAGGATTCAAAAGTTCATTACCAAATGATTAAAAAAAGATAATCCATTATCTAGGGGTTACTGATCAGACTTGGAAAAAGTCACTGCCAAACGGTGGGAGCGCTGTTTAACTACTAATTTTCTTAAAGTAACATATTTCCATACAAAATCCGTACTTCATAGGACATATAGGACAAGTAGAATGAATTCCACCAAATTTATGGTAGTATCAACCCCCTCCCACCGTGGTTACACGACGGTACCCAAGGATTCCAACAATTATTGCCTACGAGGTCAACAGAAAGTTGACCACATTCGAGAGTCAGTCGGAGAGTGATTCCAACAACCCAATCGCCAGTCAGGAGAGATAACATTGTATAGCGACCGCTGATGGAGTCACTAGAGTGGACCTCATCATTGGTCTGTAATCCATACCAGAGATATTGGTAAACACATCGATCAACTCGATTTAAATAGCATGTCACTCGGGGGCAGACGGCGGACTGTAGGATACAGCCTTCATTACACCTCCCATGAACGGTGAGACCCGCACTATCCCGTCGCTCATGACATATCAAACAGCATATCACCATAAGAAATGCCCCAAACTTAAGGGTTAGGCATCCCAGAAAACCGATGTACTCCTAATTGGCTACGCCATTACCTATACTGAAGTTGGTCTCTTCACTTCGAAACCTTAGAACTGGACGGGAATATCTGACTGTAAGTTGGCTTGTAGGTTGATATCTCCTTAACAGAGGGAACCATGAGAGGGTCAACCGTTGTGCAACTAGAATCCCCGTTTGTAAACGCCTAATTCGTCAAATATGGCTTAAATGTGGATTGTCGATAAGGTGTTTGGACGGTGGCCAAAAATTTCATAGCCATCGTAATCGCCCAAAAAAACTGGATATCTAACTAAAGAAGACTAAATGTGCACCATCGATTAGGCATTTGATCAGCAGCTCAAAATACCCTCATCAGATGACGAGGTATTTAGCCATTTTACAGTTTCACAGTGTTATTTACTAAAGCATGCTCCTACTGTGATTCTTTACTACATGAAACATCTCAAAAATACTTGACTATGTAACTACAGCCACACAGTACACCTCAATGCCGTTTAAATTACCCTACTTCCTTAAACATAATATTTGTCAGCGTTGATTATGGTAGCATATAGTGGACCGAGGAAAGGATCCTAGAAGATTTGGATTTCGTCGATAACTTGTGTCTAATGTCACACAAACTTGATGATCTACAGGCGAAATCCAACAAGTTGACAGAAAGAGCAGGGCAGCAAAAACGGGACCCCAAGTGAACGTAGAGAAGACAGAGGTAGAGGTGATGAAGATACCCAACACCACCACCAACAACAAGCTCCGATCACCATCAATGGGAGAAATCTAAACAAAGTAGCCTGTTTCACCCACCGCCTAGGCAGCACCGTTTCAACTACAGGCGGCACAGACGAGAATGTCAAAGCCAGAATCGGAAAAGCAAGACAGGCGTTCATTAGCCTGAAACTAGTGTGGAGATCTTCTGCACTCCACTCAGCATGTGGAACAAGATCCAGGTTTTTAACACTAAGTCAGTCAAGTCAGTGCTTCTATGTGATGGTTGAGAGACTTGGCGCGTTACGAAAGGCATTTCCTACAAACTACAAACATTCATCAACAACTGCCACCTAAGCTGGCTCGTTACTGAAGTTCACATGGCCAGAATAATAAGAATAAGCAACAAGGAACTCTGGCTGGCTGGCTGCAACGAACCAACCAAGAAGCTATGGTTCAACAAATATGCAGAAGGAAGTGGAGATGGATTGGGCATGTACTGAAAAGACCGACTGGGGACATCACGCGCCAGGTCAGGCCAGGCCCTCGAGTGGAACCCAGATGGGAAACGATGAGTTTGGCGTCCGAAGTGAGGTTGACATGGAAGAGATCGTGTGAGGAAGAAATGAGAGCTTGTGGGCAGTCGTGGCTATAGGTTCAAAAGATTTCAGAGAACATAGTGCACTGGAGATGTGCTGCTGAAGCCCTATGTTCTACTAGGAACTCAAGGGACAAATAATATAAATAATAATAGTAGTAGACCATAAAATTCTGGAGAAATGGAGCTTTAGCTTAGTGACATAGGCACGTAAATGCCACTGATCATTTCAGAAATAGCTCATCGGTAATGTCTCCGGCTCAAGCACTGCGTGACGCGGGTTTGAATCTCTGGCAGGACATCAGTTCCCTTGAAGTTGCAGATGCTCCTTGCTGACAAGTAACAAAAAACACGAAACGTAGGTCAAGCAGGGCCTCCTACCTATTGCCTACATCCAGCTAATATCTATCAAAGTGCATCGTGATCCTGAGTCGCCTAGCTTGGTGGTCAAATTGCAAAATGATCGATCGAATTTGATCAGCACTTAGGACTAGACAATATGAAGGTGGTTACCCTCCAATGATCAATCAATGTAAAACAGATTCAATCTATCTCAACTTTCCCGACTAGATGATATCCCTTGAGATTGTAGATTAGGTGTTGCTCACAACAACAAAAAACAAACCATCCATGCTAAGTCACTCACCTGTAATGTAATCTTCGGTAAGACAAGCACAAACTGAACTATATGACACTAAACAGTTTTTACGAAATTTCGTCAATGAGTGTTTCAGCAGTGCTAAAGTATTCCTTTATTCGTCAAATTTCGGTGACTGCATAGTAATTTTTATATTTTCGACAACGCTCTCATAATCATACTAGAGTCAGAAGAAAAACTAGTTTCACCTGACATCAGTAGCTAATGCAGAATGGTAGAAAAACTGTAGAGCAGAAAACAAGTTTCTCACCTTAGTTTGTGACTTGTTAAGAGTGTACAACTGGTAATAATTTCAGTGCAAAAAAAATACTGTCAAGTTCTAAAAACGGCAAAAATGAATACGGAAAATGTCATGGAGTGCGATAATATCCTCTAAATTGGTACTGGGTGATGATTGAAGGTGAAATGAGGATTTGGACCGCGGCCGGATTCGAACCAGCGACCACCGGGTTTTCAGTTAGATACCCTATCAACTGAGCTACAAGGTCCGACTGCTGACCAGAATTTTATTTCACTTGAATCATTAAGAGTTTTGCCCGACTATCAAGTGAATTCGTGATGCGTTACTATCACTTGGTTGTATTCACATTGGCTGCCTGCCTAGTCAGGACTTCTCGTCCCAATCCGAATCTAACTGAAACAGAGAGGGGGAGCATCATATTGATTAGGATTTTGACTATCTGAGATAGCTCAGTTGGTATAACATCAAGCCGGGAACCCAGTAGTCGCTTGTTGGAATCCGGTCACGGTCCAAATTTTCATTTCACCTTCAATCATCAAACAGTATCACTAGTAGTCTGCCAAACCATGGCTATCTCAGACAGTCAAAATGATAATCTTCTAGGTTCCTTAAAGAAGCCTGGAAATCCCTGATAAACTTTCACAGCCAATCATGACATGTCGCACGTTCTCGAAAAACAACATAATCATACATGTGAGACTTAGATTAGTTAAAGAGTTCTCTAGAAAAGTGTAGGCTATCAACAAATGTACATAAACCGTTAACTTTTGTAAATATTCAACTGGACAATAAACCTTCACCGTTTTGCTGCTTCTTTCTGGTCTCGAGGAACCGAACGATCATCAAGGGTGAAGTCTAAGGTCATTTATTGTTCAAGGGTCCACTCCTACATGTATATATATATATATATATATATATATATATATATATATATATATATATATATATATATGTATAATACAAAGGTATATCAGGAAACAATATCATCAGTGGTAAAAATAAATTTGTTTACATCACATTTGCTTGAACCTCAAATCTTAAAAACATATATAAACAAGAGTGATTTGTAACAAAATAGTTTACTACTCATAAAAGATAATCATCAGTGCATACTTCGTAGTTTAAATTTTGATCAATTGACCATACATCCAGTTGACTCTTATACAAAGCGAAACATAGACATTTATCACTGTCTGACGATGGTACACATGTGATTAAACGTAGAAACACCTGGGAAAGATATTGAAATAAAAGAAAGCAGAAGACTTAAAAATGTTCAATAAAATACACAACTAACAGGCTAATGATTGAATTCTACACTGACAGTTTGTTATGAACAAAATATACTAATTGTCTGTGTATAACTATGTGGTAAAAGCAGGATTATAAGAGAATCAAGTGTATCGAAACATAGAGACTCATTAGTTTCATAACTGCCATAACCCTACTGATGTATTATCCTTAAACTTCACAAAATGCGTCTGAGCCCATACCCCAATACACGAACGTATGAATTTTTGAAGTGTATTATCTTTTCATTACAGTAAAGCTATGGATCAGTTGGCTTCAACAGTGAGATATGTTTTCGACATCCTACCCACCTATTTAGATTTGGACAGCCAGGTAACATCGTTACTCCTGACACATGAAGTTTCACATGGCTGAGCTTCATTAATGTATTCAACTCTATCTAAAGTACACTGTATCAATGGTGTTACACTCTTTGAGTTGAATGATGTAACCAAGAGGATAACTCAAGTTTTTTTAAAAAGCATCTTTTTTATCTGCAAAACTCAAATATCTTAAGACAAATGTGCATGCTTCATAAAGAAAACCAAATAACTAAGCGAGTAGAAATCGGTTATGATCCACTGCATATATATTAGACTATCATGTAATGAAAATGCCAGTAGATCCAAATTGATGTTTGCTGAATACATTTCTAGCAGCAATAGTATTTTCATCAACGGAGGAAGTGATATATCATGCAACCTATTGCTAATGCTATGACAAACATAACTTCAGTACAGTAGAAAAGATGACAAATCAAAGGTAAAATCTGATTATTGAAACGCTAATAGTAACAGTTTTAATTCAGTGATACTACAAAAGAAGATCACAAGTGTTTGATCTTTGGTGGATTTTAAAATTCATTGAACGTCTTACACACCATATACAAATAGAATAAATTTTATAGTTTCACTCTTAACTAATCAGTAGTAATGTCATATATATTCAAGGATATAAACGTCATCACTATTATAATAAACTTATGAAGTGAACAAAAGTAATTTTAAAAATTAGTCAACGGATAATTTTCGATAATGTGAAGAGATCTGATGAGCATGAGAGAAGAATTCATAATAAGAATCGATGGCACTTTCAGTGATGCAGAATATCATATACCTGATGCTCTGGTTTATGTTGTTGGTTAAACAGACAGACAGACATATAGACAGAAAACACCAACGTAGAGCCTTGCGCATAGGTGCATCTACTCAAGTTGCCACACTTCACAGTAGTACACAAAGAACAGGTGGACAGAAAAGAAGTGATATCAAAGTAAACAAAGTTGTGTGAAAAGACAAACAATCTGAAGATAAGGGTTGGTGCAAATATTCAAGCTTTAGATGTCAACAAGTGAATACATTTGGGCCATTGTGACTAATTTTCAGCCATGTCACCAAGAGTCCTCAACTACTGATTCCTATTGTTTCGAGGACTCTAGCCAAGTGGTTCACATCGCCCCATATGACTTAGATCGACAGTCAGAGACTTCATCGACCGGTGCCAAGTCTTGGTCTGACCACCCTGATGCCTCTTCCAACCTAATCCAGCTTCTTCTAGCGTGGTACGTCGAGGTAGGCGGTGACTCGGCATAGGCAACACATGTATAAGCCACCTCAGTCGATGAAGGTTCACAACCTCATCAATGGACTTACTTATCATGCCTAGTACCTCCAGCCTGACCTCAACATTGCTCATACAGTGATTCCACCAAATGTGAGTAATGCTACGAAGACGCCAATGATCGAAACCCTGTGATTACTTCGAGTCTTCTACTTTTAACAGTTACGTTTCACAGCCGTAAAACAGGACAGAACGAGCTGCAGTGTAGCATACTCATCTTCTGATAGATGGTCGGATATCTTGCCGGCGCCACAGATGATGTAAGTTGGTAAATGTGTTTTGTGAAGCTTGTCTTCTACAGCACACAGCTGAGTGGAATGACATTACAGGGATATTGCAAAGAATCAGGAGAAATGAAAGAAAAGATGTTTGACGGATAAGTATAACAAAATAAGACAATCAAGAGTAAAAGGAACAGAAGTGGATGAACGTCAGCAATTACGACCGACACTTATAATAAATTTATCGAAAGCTTAAAAACAATAATTGTAGATCCAAAGATAATCCCATTATGTCAGGTGGATCACTCTACTGATCTTCCCATACAAATAATCCGACTCTAACAACTAATTTTAATGACGAATAAAATCAGGAATAAATTACTGTAAAAGATATGAAAACAAAATATCTTATTGAAAAACTTACAAAATTTTCACCACCTCGAGCTGGTATGAATTTCCCTGGTCCAGTACTTGGAGTTGAAGAAACCAGACTGAAGAAGCTTGATACACGACGACCCAATCCAGATAGTAATCCTTGTGTATGCAGGCAACCATCATTTGTACTTGTGAGTAAACGTGTGTTCACACCATCCTGAAGAGATTGAAAGTGATTAAATTTATGCACAGCTGAAAACTTATATACCGAGCGAGGGCTCTCTCTCTCTCTCTCTAGATCTTTAAATGTTAGAGTCATTTAAATTTACGATTATACTGAACTCATTCATTCTAAAACTCACCTGAGCATTGCGAGTATCAATGAGGAGAAGATGACCTGTTCGGGTGGAAACCAAAAATGCGCCAGCCTAGAAATATGAAGTTTAAAATACAAACTTGGCAACAACTGGAAATAAATTCTATGCAATATTTTTAAGAACGTAGTATAGATTAGATAGACGAAATTGAAATACGACTAGGGATTACTGTGTAACAGTTCAAGTTGCCACATCTTATATCAGCATATCGAACAACAAAGCTATAAGACGAAAGATAAAGAGGAAAGCACTCAAAGTAGTGTAGTCATAACAAGATAACAAAGAGGAATGGAAAATACTGAATTGAGTATGACGATTAGGATGAGGATAATGTGTGGATACATTTGCGCCACTGAGATCGATTCTAAGTCATGCCACCTAGTCTCCAATCACTGGTTTTTGTTGTCACTAGGACCCTAACCAGGAAGCCTACATTCTACTACACGGTTCAGACAAACAGTTACAGACTTCATGGACTGATGCCTTGCCTTTACCAAACCTAAAACTATATCAACTAACATAGTGCAACCAGGCATGTGTAACACCTCCCAGCCACCTGAGCCGATGAAGGTTCACAATCGCATCAATTGATTTTCCTCTCTTCCCTAAAACTCTACATCTGACTTCCACATTATTGACATGTTGGCACCACGATACAAAGCGTTCAAATACCTGAAGCCTTCTTATTTCCTCTAGCTTTCGTGGCCATGATCCCCATCTACATAGTAGGACAGAGAGAATTGCAGTGCAGTACACTCGACTCTTGATAGACAATCAGATTTCACGGAGGCATCGAAAATGGCGTAGGTTGGCGATACCAAAGCTAACCTTCTGTATCCATGAAGGAAGTTCGTCGGTCACTGAACCACCATGGCTAATCAGACTCCCCAGGTAAGAGTAGTGTTCAGTGTTTTCGACTACTTCACTCCCTGTTGTTATACAGGGCACCAGTGAAGATCAGTCCTGGACCAATAATTTACATTCAGATCGCGAGAAACGCAACCCAAACATTCTCATATTGTCACCCAAGGTATTCCGAAGACTGCATCTTTTCAGCATCTTCACTTAACAGAACTATGTCCTTTTTACTCTGGATTTGTTAAGGATTCCCCTTTGATAAGGTCAATCCCTGTAAAGTCAGATGACCAAAAGAAGACCTCCGTAAGTACGTTTATGGTGAAGTCTAATAAGAATGGAGGTAGTTGACATGCTTGGAGGGCACCATTGAACGTACACAACTCACCATAGGTGCTAACACGCCCACAAGTGTTTGAGTATAGAGCGCAATAATATGTTTCAACTCAACAAAAACATTTATTCGATACACAACAAGATGAGCTCGATAAATAAACTCATTTATGATAAGTTGAGTTATCCTCACTTTTCACGATAAACACAATTAAATCAACTTAATCGAGTACAGTTTGATACACTGGGTTGAAAATTACGACTATTGTGTGAGAGGTTATCATACTACCTCGTTACCAAGAGTGCCATAGACGGAATTAAGTTTAAACTTAAAAACTTTTAGTTGAAAGTCGAATTTTTAGCCATATATCTATAACCTAAATATGCACACATTTATATTACAGTTTATAATATCCAGAAATTTTTGTTCGTGTCAATCAAATTTGTAAAGTTCACCGGTGATAAGGAATTGAAGCATAAGCTCATCAAAATTTACACGTTATCTACTAAAAATTTATATTCCAGTGGTTACTTTCACTCTGTATCGAAAATCTAAATCTACTCAGTAACTGCATGCACGTTCGCATCGTAGACAACGAGCCACACTTATTGAGTGAGGGCTAATTAAACTACCTGGTTACTCGAACCTCTGTAAACTAATAGCATGCGTAATGAACTTTTTTAGTGATATTATGTCCTTTGAGTTGAATTATCTTACTTTGAAGCTTTCGACGTCATTCCGGACAAAACTATCCATATTAACCTCAGAAAAAAGTAGCCTATGAGAATTTTGTCGTAAGCGGCTGTCATAAAACTTGTGGAGCTCTGCAAATGTCAGCCAGTATTATACACAATAGAGTTGGGGTCGTCAAATTACAAAATACAGTTTGCGTACAGCTCACTCTCAAGGCCAGTATGTCATGTGGGCGCTGTCATGTAGAATAACTCCTTGAATACATTTCTGAAAAAGATCTGAATGGGAAACAAAATTACACGTAACCGCCGCGCATATTAGAGTAGTATCCACCTAAGTAGACTGAGCAGAGTACCACGAATAGTACACTGAAATAAATTGTCAGATAACCGTCATAATGAGACAAAATCACGGTATGATATATTTCACTACAGTGAAATCAAACTGAAAACGTTGTAACATTTAGATTACAGTTTACATAAGATGACTTACCACATGAATAGGCTCTAAATGGATCGCTTGGTCACCATATAATCCACCGATGGGAGCTGGTAGTACAGTATCAACATGAACGTAATTACGAGTCAATCGAGGCCACAAGCGCAAATTACCACCACAAGAACTAAGTGCCAAACAACTTGTAGGCAGAAGTGATACCTCCATATCGTTCGGGGAAAAATTAATCCAACTAAGAAGGCACTATGTGGAAGATCACTAGCAGGCAAGTCAAAGCTTATACATGAAGAATGAGGCTAAGAAATAAATGGTAGAAAATAAATCATGTTAGTTAAGTAACTCTCAGGAACAATGACGAGGCTCCTAGACAGACTATCCTCTATAAATATATGATGAAAAACAACATACTTGTGCGTTTGAAGATCTTGTATACTTCCATAAGAACAGCTTGTTTCCGGCAACCACGACCAGCCAATCATTGGTAAAGAATCTTGCGCTCGAAGCTATCAATTAGGATACAGATAGTTAAAACAGTACTTACAGGTAGAATTACGCAGTGCTTTGGATGGAAAAACTGGCAAATTTTCTGATATTTTGAATACTTGTAACATCCGAGAGGGGTGTATTTCTACGTTGACACACGAATGCAGAAACACTGAACTGACACAATTATCGCCATACATTATTTGGCTGAAATGAGCATAAAAAATTGAGAGAGTAATACACAGCACAGTCCTCAAGAGATGTTACATGGTGCTCAAATAAATGACTAATATTATTTATTATGTATTATTTATTTATCCCTTGGGTTCCTAATGGAACATCGGGCTTCAGCAGCACGTCTCCAGTGAACTCCGTTCTCTGAAATCTTTTGAACCTATAGCCACGACTGCCCACAAGCTCTCATTTCTTCCTCACACGATCTCTTCCATGTCAACCTCACTTCGGACGCCAAACTCATCGTTTCCCATCTGGGTTCCACTCGAGGGCCTGGCCTGACCTGGCGCGTGATGTCCCCAGTCGGTCTTTTCAGTACATGCCCAATCCATCTCCACTTCCTTCTGCATATTCGTTGAGCCGTAGCTTCTTGGTTGGTTCGTTGCAGCCAGCCAGTCAGAGTTCCTTGTTGCTTATTCTTATTATTCTGGCCATGTGAACTTCAGTAACGAGCCAGCTTAGGTGGCAGTTGTTGATGAATGTCTGTAGTTTGTAGGAAATGCCTTTCGTAACGCGCCAAGTCTCTCAACCATCACATAGAAGCACTGACTTGACTGACTTAGTGTTAAAAACCTGGATCTTGTTCCACATGCTGAGTGGAGTGCAGAAGATCTCCACACTAGTTTCAGGCTAATGAACGCCTGTCTTGCTTTTCCGATTCTGGCTTTGACATTCTCGTCTGTGCCGCCTGTAGTTGAAACGGTGCTGCCTAGGCGGTGGGTGAAACAGGCTACTTTGTTTAGATTTCTCCCATTGATGGTGATCGGAGTTTGTTGTTGTTGTTGGTGTTGTTAGTTGGGTATCTTCATCACCTCTACCTCTGTCTTCTCTACGTTCACTTGGGGTCCCGTTTTCGCTGCCCTGCCCTTTCTATCAACTTGTTAGTTATCGCCTGTAGATCATCAAGTTTGTGTGACATTAGACATAAGTCATTTGCGAAATATAAATCTTCTAGGTTCTTTCCCGTAGTCCAGCTTATCTCCTCTCTTCTCGCTCCTCTCTGTTTGTTGCATGATCCGGTCCACTACAATCAGGAATATCATGGGTTATAGTAGGCAGCCTTGTTTTGCTCCTGTCTTCACTTCAAAAGCATCACTGAGCTTCCCATTGTGAATTACTTGGCACCCATTATTCAATAACTTGAAGATGAGGAGGCTCTAGGTGTGAAGTCACTGTCTTACTCATAGCATGTCCCACGTAGAAAAAGCAGTAGTTAGACCTATTTCTCAGCAAAAGAACTAAGTCAGTTGATGAGGTCGTATAGTTTTATTGACTGGAATAGCTAGGACGTTACAAACACGCCTAGTCACCATCAACCAAGATGTGCGATTTTTGCTAAATTAAAGCTATCATTTTAGCCCGTTTACTAGAAATGTCATACAGTGGAACAGTATCATTTACTGGATAACGTTTCGGACACAATTTACTGTCGATATTTATATCAGGTAACTCTACAACTTTGAGACAGAGTTTATACAGTCCTAATTCTCTCTCCTTTTCTGTGATGACAAGGGTAATAAAACTTTACATATATCTGGGACAGATGCAGAATCATTTCTATTGCATGTATTAGGCGTTGATTCGATAAACAAAGATTCGGTTATCAATGTGTCTCTCCACCAAAATAAGTTAGTTTTTAATACTGTCGCTCTATTACAACCTTTTGTTATTGTGCTCAAATGCGTGGGAGCTACAGCTGAACGTTTTACTAAATTTCTTATCTTATTATGATCAGCTAATCTTGATTTAGCTAAGATTTTGTGCTGTTATTCTAAGCGACCCTGGTCGACTACTTTGACCTACGTACTTGAACTCGTAATCCTTGCAACTGATCCGGTAAATTAAGTTATTCTGCTTAACTGGATCAATAGGATATTTTAACCTACAAAGCTTGTTTCTAAGCGAGTTTGTTGGTTTCAATGCCACTTTAATCTCAGACTTATTGAGAATTCTTCGTAATGCTTCTGAGGTGCCTTCCTTGTATGGTGACATAGCAGAGGCTTTGAATTCTCTCTCAACCCTGTCACCATTATTACTATTAGTAGTATAATTATTATCAATAACACCTGTATTACTGTTACTACTACTACTACTACTAATATTTTTCTTTCGATTTCTTATGAATTTATTTATAAATTTGCGTGGGTAATTATTGAGAAGCAAGGTATTTTTGATGTGTCTAATTCCTTATCGTAGATTTTCTGGCGCACTAGCAAGCTTTTCCACTCTATCACTTAGGCATTTAACTAAGCCTACTTTAACTGAAATGTGGTGAGATGATTTGAAGTCTAAGTTTAAGTAAAGCAAGTAAAGTTAGTCTTGGAAAAATTCAAAGGTGGTTACATTACGTATCATAAGTTATGAAGTCTGACCATTGATTTGAGCTTTATAAGGTGTAGACTTTCAGGTCAGGGTCCACAAGACACCCAAAACCGACAGCTGGAGACTTGATATAACTCGGAATCGATCATAGTAGTGCAGGCATGTTCACTAGTTATCTCCATCACAGTGTTGTATCAGATTTTATTATTTGCTTTATACCGTTGGCCCGAAAATATTTGCGAGCAGAGGCTTTGACTAAGTCGTATTTATTCCTGTCTTTCGTCTGGTTGCCTCGTATTTTGACAAGCTGATGTGAAGCGTGGTAACCTGAACTAGAAAGCAGTATTTACCTGTTTACGTTCATACTGATTGATCAAAAAGGGACTACTTTGATCACGTATCTGTAAAACTCCAGAAAACACTGGGCACGCCGGAAAGGTCATGATGTCTAAAGACCACGGAAACAAGTGAGTGGTGAGGGCTTAAATACTGCTCATCGAACTAGGTTATAGTGACAGATTTCAAGTTTTATGGGTCATGTGGATTGTTCTCAAAAAGGGAAGATGCAAATACGTGATAAAATGTTTCAGACATATTCCTCTTTACGAACTTGAACGACCAGGGTAAAAATAAAATGAATCTATTTTGTCCTTCATTCAGGAAAAATAATCCTCAATTGCATCCATTTACATTACAAATACTGTGCAGCGAAATCCGCTCCATAATCCGAAGGAAAATTATACAGCCTACAGTATTTTGAACGTTATTCATTCTGTTACTATAGTATTTTAACTTGTTTAAGAAAACAATGTCCACTTACTACACCACGTTTTGTGGTTGATTAGTATGACAGATACTAAAATCTTTAAAGACAATGTTAATTGCCTATAGTTCCTACTTATACAGATGTTATGACAAAAAATAAAGTAGAGGCTCATCAAAATGCAAGACGCACGTGAGTTGTTTCACCATCTTATTACACTGTTCCACTAAACTTCTATACTGTGTAAAATTGTGTAATGCGTAAAGTCAAAATCCTCAGATATTTGATCACAAGTCATCACACTTAGATTCTAGCTTGATGATTTGTGGTACATTAGAAACACACTAGTGCTTTGATTTGCACTTTCCCCTGTGCCTAAAACACATTGAAAGTGTTAGCTCTCATTTGATTGAGTTTTTGTCATCATATTTCTGCAAAACAGTTTCAATTCATGTGATACACAGGTATACAACCATGAAACAAGCATTGCTATTTCCCAGGTAAACGTGGAGAGCTGAAAGAGGAAAATCCTTAAACCAAATTAACTTTCATTCACCACTAATTCAATGGATAAATAAACAGAATTGTGCCGTTTTAGAACAATTCTTCCAGTGACCTTAAGCCATGTTACACTTCCGATCCAACAACTGTTTTATTGACATGGAAAGTGATATTCAGTAAAAACTGTAAGGAACTGTACAGCATATAACTATTTTGGACTGGTTACGACTTCTGCATGTTCGCACTATCCCAGGAATGAGCAGCTCACACAGGGTTATGATACAGCATTAGTATGTGCACTATAATATCACAAAATGACTTTAATTATAACTCCCTGAAACTTAAAATTTAGTGAAAAGAAAGAAAGCATTATGTACCAACGCATAAAAGAGAACAAAAAAGCCAGGTACCCTTTTAAGCACAGTAGACTATAATGAACCAGACGGTGCAAAGGAACACATCTACAGGAGTCAGCATAGGGATGAAAGCACACAGCTAGTCAGCTCCCTAGAAAACCCTTTGGATTAAGACTGAGTCCTTCATAGAGCTGAGAATTTTATTCAATAATTCGTTTCAGTTACATTTCTGACGGGTTTTTTTTAATAAGCATGCTTCCCAGAGATGCAGATGGATTTCGAAATTGATGTGTGCTTGCGGCTGGGGACATGTAGTTAACCTACACATATCTTCTTGGGGACTTTTTACCACCTTTTGTCTTAAGGAACTATTCCCTTGATGCATTGACCAGAGGTGTGATAAATTGGACCGCCACTCAGTAGTGTAAAGTTCTATGTTGATCTTGTCTGTCAGATACGCATTATTCTGTGCTTATATAGGTGTAGCAAAACGTTTGTAACAAATGAAGTAAATTTGCATCCCAATCTATGGTTTATTGCTATTTGTCATATGCGCAGGAATCTTCTGGTGCACTTCAAAACTTTCAACATCTTCAAGGGAAATGTATGGGCATTTCGATGATATTGCAAAACTTTAAACGAACCCAAAATCTTTATTCGGCACTTTTGACCACTTTTCAAAGCGTTACCGAAGACTTTGCCAAATGAGATAAAACCAACTACCTATCACCTTAAATCTCAACGTAAAGCCACACCAAAAGATTGGTCATTGCTTCTGATATGGCTTACTGCTGCAGTATTGGGCTACCTTCAATATAGCGACGGAGATACATACTATTTTTTAAAAGAAAGAGTAGTTTAGGGAAAATAAAATGGAAAGAAGGAATCCTGATACCCTGAAGCGACTGTTTAGTGGCCCTGAAGACCTAATTATATTTTAGAGTAAATAAAAGTCTTTTCGTAATGAGTGAAGGAACATCGTAAATTAGGTTGTATACGATCATTCTACGTTAGTTATCGATTCTGCACACCTCTTTAAGTGCTTGAGGAGTCCCGAGGCCAGATAGGCTAGGGATAAGCAGCTTGAGTTAGGCTACGGCTTAGCATAATTACATGCACCGTTACATTTTGACTACTGAATAAAATGTGCATGAGAAGAGCATTTGGTTCATTTAGTTAACTTTAAATTCTGTATCACCTTGCTAGCACTATGAAAAACTAAATTCTAATACAGACACCTATATTCTAAAATACTAGCAGGCAACGGACTTGCTGTTGATTGATAACAATCAGAACAGATTTGTTCCAAGATCTCTTACGAGTAGTTTTAAGACGGTAGAATACGTTAGATCGACGTGAATATTTATTAAGCTATGGAATAAGGATTCTGATATACTTGTATGAAAGACAAGAATGAACTGAGAACAACTTCATCTCTAAAGATTAGCTTGTAAGATAGCACGTACGTGCTAATTATTACAAGCATCCAAGTAGACATATACTTATAAACCATATTTTCGTTTTGACATAATCAAGTGCACTTCAGTACTGTGCAAACCTCAACAAATTTTTACCCACTAATCTTCGCTCATAAACTTGCTACAAACCTTATGAGATGCAATTTGACTTTCAAGGTCAATAGTGAGATTTAAAAATGATGCCTTGAAATCTGAGAGTATTGAAAAACAATGAAAGCTTATATCAGTTATGAAGGCATCCCAAACAGAAAGTTTTTGAACTAAGATTGCAAGATCTTGGATCTCTTTAATTCATCAGCGACAACGCCAATTATCCGAACATTGGAAACGGTTAGTTCTTGAAAAATAATCGTCTACTTTTATGGGCTTGGTCGTCACTCGGTTTTGCTGTAGAAGTTGGCAAGAAAGCCTCTTCCACTTTTCCGCCTTCTATTACGGTGAGATGTGTAGACTTAGGAATAAAGAGTGGTGGTCCCGGGTCCCACCTTCTCCACTCGCTTCAGGACACAGAAAAACTTATTTTTATTTCCTTTGTTTTCCATGCGATTGATGAAATTAAATATTCGCCTTGACCACAAGTCTTTATATATTTGTCGTCCATTTTAACTGCTGGCGTAGAATTATACTCATTTTTGCAATGTCGTGTTACTGATCTGTCCACTTAGATCAGTGGTCTGCCCAAGAAAACCGATCGGTTTCTCGAGTTGTCTCGCTAGTGCTAGCAACAACCCTGGTGGACTCCTATATTTTGTACATAACAAATTCTCCGGGACGTTGCCCTGCTAAACACTGACTACTGGATCGGAGAACGCCCTATAGTAGGATATCAACGTCTCTATCCAACAAAAATGGTACCATGCCTCAGAATCTGACTTATTTACCATATGATACTAACAGCTATCAAATTTGGCCTTCCCATTCTCTGTCGCTCGTTCCAGATTTTACCTCCTTCTGTACACTCCATTTCTGCTGGCCGGGGGGGGGAGGTAGACTGCCAAAGTTAGCACTAGCAAATGAACGGCGGCCATCAAGAGACAAATATGAAGTGCGTATGAATGGAAAATTGGGCTCTACCAGATAGATAGATTCAGTGTGGGTCTAATGTTTGGCCGTTTTGACAACATTCACTTTCTAACCACATTTCGTCTTTTGGCAACTGATTTTACTCAGAAACCGTAACAGTGTGTAAGAAGGCTTCAGACCTTTACATCAGGCATTGTTCATGCTGGATCAAACAGTTGCCAAGCTTTTGTACCTTAGGTCTGCATTGCTCTTGGCCTATTTGTACGAAAGGTGTGGGTGCTGACCTCATTTACGCGTTGAATGGCACAGAAGGCACTGTGGTTACTGGGCAACCTATGTTTCGGCCTCAGCGGGAGCCTAGTTGCGTGAAAGTGCCACATGTTACATACAACAATATCCAGTCATCAGACAGCCAACAGTGATGATAGAAGTTGGCCCATTGGCTTGGGCTACTCTTGGATGCAAATATCTCTTCGAGAAAGAACTTTCCATTAAGTATCCGTTCCCTGAATAATCAGACACTGCTGTCTGAAGAATTAATGAGTTCCATTCGTCAGGTTAGCTAAGTCAGGTTAAGTTTATTTCCTCTTGGTCCTCGGACCTCGGAGATAATCATTCCTGACAGCGGAGAAAATATGATACATACCACTATCGTAGCTGTTACTGAGGAAACGGAATGCCAGTACGAGGTCTTTCTCTTTTCTTACGACAAGGCAGTGGATACAAAGTCGGGTTACAGAGACGTTCCTCAAATGACAACCACCGACTGAACACGCTCAAGCACTTCCGCACTCTGTTTCAGACTAGAAGCGGCTACACGAATGTAGTGCTCTAAGATCTTGCGTTTGCACAACAGCATATTCAGAACATGTCCCTATCAAAGCCTCCAGAAGCTCCACAACAGAAACATTCAAGTCTTACGAGTCAAAAACTGCGGGTATTGGTATGCCACTAGCGTGTTACTACAGATGGTTACTGTCGCTGGTGTTCATCAGAGCTTCTTCGCTTCAAAGTCGTTGCCAGACTACTAGTTTATCGAAGCCTACTCAAGGTACACGGTTATCAGCGTAACGGCACATGACGCTTTTGACTTTTTTGAGATTGGTGAATAGAAAACTGGCCGTTTTTAGTAATTTGGTGATGTGATGGGAAAACGAGAGAACCCTATCGAACAGACTAGGTTGATTTTGGCGGTCGTCCGTTGCAATATTACTCAGGATCTAGGTGTTACCAGTGGTTGTAAAACTACACTGGAGAAATTCAGCAAGGTTTCAGTTCCATCCCCGTAGGGCTACTCTGATGCATTTCAGTTTTTACAGGGCTGAGTTTTGTTGTACTTTCTGGTTCTGTGCCCCATATAAAAACAGCCGTAAGAGAGAGCCGATACGGTCATGCGCTGCTTTCTTTTAAAAGTCACTGCCTTGGTTATTAATAGCGGTCTCATGAAAACTCCAGGCTTGGAGATAATCTATTTCATACTTATCCCAGTTCGTCTCCAATAATTGATCCCGGCGACGTTTCGTCCAATCTGACAAGCTTCGGTTTTAATCATCCACTTAAGGAGGCCAACGGGCAGCTTTTTTAGAGGTTAACTAAAGTGTGAAATGCGGTAATTTCGGGCATAATCTTAAGCGCTTCCCAGTGTTTTTCAACAAATCAGCCTGTATTCACTGAACACCCAGATGAGGTTGAGATATCCTTGATTGCTGACATGCCTGCTGGCCAAATACTGGGTTGGTAGTTGGCAGATTCACACGCTGGGCCGGCAGTTAAAATGCTGAGGGTGTTGAGTGCATGATCAATACTTTCCAAAACTGGAATGCACTGAGTTTCACTCATGCTCTCACACTTGTGCATTAAGATTACGTTGAAAAGTAGTCGTTGGTGCTCTGGGTCAAAGTAGGTCCTTGCTACTAAATTTCGTACAAGTTTGTAATGAATGACAGGTTATAGAATACCCGATCCCCAAAGTCAGCCTTCTGCACTGCAAATAAATTCTGGGATTTATCTTTGCCTTTTGGCTCTTTAGAAACTAAAAGATGTTTGGAGATACTTCAAGAATTCAGAACTTGTATGGATGACCATAGTTAGTCTCATAAGTGCTGCCTTTTAGGCCTCCTTTAAGTCTGCCTACATAATAGGACAGGGACTATTGGAAAACCAGGGTGACTTGAGCTATTATTGTTGGTGGAAGTTTCTAATAAAACCATGGATTTTGGTGGGTTCCTAAAGGAAGGTCCTTCTGATAAACAGGAGTAATGGTGGCCATAGACGAAGGTTTATAGAACTGATGTTTTTGTCCAGTCAAGCTGCAGCATCCACACGGGAGCAACACTTAAGGAGCAGATGCCGTCCGCGACTTCAACTTTATCTGCGCCATGAGTGTTTGAAGGTCAAACAACTGCTATGAGATGGTAAACGGTGAACATAGTTGTCCACTTCCCTGACTTCTAGGGAGCATTAACTGCTGTAGGGGAGAGGAAACTTCCCCTGTAAGACATTCTGGGGCAGCCTTCCAGTTACTTAACCAAATAATTCAGTTAACAAGTTTGATGATTGTGAGGTCTCAGCACCTGTCGCCTAAGGGTGAAACAAAGTGAGTTAAAATGATCTAAGCTCATGAACAACACATATGCACTTGCAAGTGACGTTTTCTTATAAGTTTTATGGCTTACGGATTACCTTAATTTCATGACAGAGTTTAGGTTTCTCCCTTATTCGCCACTCGAGACCGCCAAAAATGTTGGAAATTTGCTGATGATTATCAGTTTGGTGACTTCTGTAAGCCGGCCGCCGTCATGTTAAGTTCATGATGTAAGAATAAAAATACTTGTTTACCATTTAAAACAGAAAACATAAAGTGCATTCGTGCAAATGCAAAAACTATATCGCTCTGTGGATATTGAGTGGTATGACTGAGGCTGATTTTATTTGTGTTGGTGAGACACGCGTTTCCTCCTCGAATTCTGGTGGCAGAACTGGCTGTCAGCAAGCGATTTATAAATCGCACGCTTCACGCCGATATTTCCCGCAACTGAGTGGCTTTCCGGATGTCGAACAGTGGTATCAACAGGGCTTTCATTGGATACCGCGAAGCAGAAATGATGAGGTGTGTTCTTTCACACTACAGTGTCATGTGCTGACGAAGTATACGTCTGAACAGCATGAGCTGTCACAAGCCCCTCAGGCCGATCCGTGAATTTGGCCAGCCAGATCTAAACACAGAACGACCGTACCGCTCGTTTGAGACCAAGATCGTCATAGGTGTGCAGGGATACCCTAATTTGGATAGCTGGCCTGTATGGACAGCGAAGCCAAAAATAGGGTGATAGCTCTTTAAACGATCTGTAAAATGTATGATGCGTGTTGGCGCTTCCGAGAACATTGCTGATGAGCTCGGCCACTAACACCATATGGTGTTTCTACCATTCTGAAATGGCTGGTGAAATCTGCAGACCAACCCGAGTAGCTCCCGACTACTCCTGTTGTTCAGCAGTATATTTCACTGGTTCGCGTGCTGACTGTCGCCAACATCACGCTGTTATGCAATATTAGGTCACCTGGACAGCGGAACTGCAAAGCTCTTCATTTTAACCTTTCTATAACAGGTCTTCACATCCACGTCTACAAAATTGACCTCCTTAATGAGTCTGCCTGACGCCGTGTAAGGCTGTCCAAGACTACCAGGTGCTTAGCGTTACCCATCAATTAAAAGCCTTCTGCAGACTTCCCGTAAGGTAAGCGAATGTCACGTTCGACCGACCACCCTCTCAAAATAAAACATATGCATCGTTTGATACTGATAACTTCCCGCTGCTGTACTGGGTCGAATCGCTCAACATTTGTTGGCAGATGGGCTGCTATGCGGTTGCCTCAGTACTGTCTGAATATTCATTACATTGAAGTCTGCCTGATGGCAAGCAGTGGAATAGAGGACCCAGTTTCTTCCTGGTTGTAACTTGCCAGATGGATGTGCCCGCATCTCAGTGAGTGATGTTTCTACTGAAACGACGATCCAGTACTCATAGCTTCAAAAGCCAAGGCGTTGTACACCAGGTTGCTGAGTCCTGAAAGCCCCCTGTTGCTCGGACGCACGCGCACTAGCTTTACGTCTTAAACCCTCCACAGTTAATTTTACTCACCAAACTTACAGCG